TCATATAGTAGAAAAGCAGAAAGTCAATTTCATATGGCAATATGAATACAGTGGTGCCCTGCTTGACGATTACCTCATTGTACGACGAATTCGCTGTACGATGAGGTTTTTGCGATCGCTATTGAGATTGCAAAATGATGTGTCTATGGGGAAAATCTGCCTTACAGTGATCGGTTCCCTGCTTCAGGAACCGATTTTTCGCTTAACGATGATCAAAACAGCTGATCGTTGGGTGTCCAAAATGGCTGCCTGCTGTGCAAAATGGCTCCCCACTTGTTAGGGACAGATTCTTTGCTCTACAGGGAGCAGAAAATGGCCGCCCTATGAAGGATCTTCGCTTTACGATGAGGTATTTTGCCCATTAGAACGCATTAACCGGTTTCTAATGCAGTCTAATGGACTTTTTACTTAAGCTTGACGACGATTTCGCTCTACAGCAATTTCGCTGGAACGGATTAACGTTGTCAAGCGAGGCACCACTGTAGATTGGATGGCAGTACGTTTTGTGTTCTCCTTCACCTACTTCCCCCCCCCATATCCCCCCTTTACCTTCTGTATCTCCTACCTTATCCTAAATTGTTAATTTAAAAAAACAGCGGCACCAACCTAGACATGCAGTCCATCAATATCGAGACATAGACTTTGACACTGAGGTTCTAACTTGTTTACCTCTCTCCATGTTTACCTCTGTCCAGTATCGACATCGATACTGTTCAACAACTCTTGAGGTTGACAAATGTCCATGAAAATGCCACCTTCTTCAGTGAACATTACTATGGCCAACATCCTCTCCACACCAAGATTGATCAATGTTCTATTGACTCCAGGCTCGATCCCGAAATCTCAAAACATGGTTCTCAACCACAAACTCCATCTGTGTTTCTCACATCACCAGATTCCGACCTTGCAGATGTAGATCCTCCATCCTCAGCGGAGGATTTTCAAACTTACACTCAACTCATGATCCACATAGCTAAGTCCTTGGATCTTCAAATCCATTGCCCCACAACTGAACTGGTGGGTCACATTTATGATCCTATTTCTAAGGACACAACTACCCCAGTCCATATTTCCATGCTACCATCTCTTCTTAGCACTGCTCAGCGATCTTGGACTAAACTAGCCTCCTCTCACTCAGTTTCGAAACAAATTGATAATCTCTACCGGATACAAGACCCAGGAGCACTTTTTCTCCAGAAACAGCTGACCCCAAATTTGATATTTGTCGAGGCCTCACAGTCTCAACACCGACAGTCCCTTATCCCACCTAACAAAGACAGTCAAAAAATCGACTATTGGCAGGTGGCTTTACTCATCAGCGGCTTTTACTATGAGATAAGCTAACTACCAAGGAGCTGTGGGGGCATATCAGTGCTTCCTTTGGAATAACATGGCCACTTTTCTTGATTCTTTACCAGAAGACAAAATATTAGCACAAACCTTCCAACAGGAGTATCTCTCTGTTGCTAAACACCAAATGTTCTCAGCCAAGCACGTGGTAGATGCCTCTGCTAAATCCATGGCTACCTCTGTCGCACTCAGACATTTCTCCTGGCTAAGAACAGCCGGCCTTGCTGAAGATGCTTGAGCATGTATTGAAGACCTCCCATTCAATACTCTTTAATGTTGAAACCTATGACATCTTAGAAAACGTTCAGAAGAAACATTCTGCTGCCAAAAGATGGGGTGTCTTATCAGCAGCACCCCCAATGTAACCAATGGAGGCAACCTTACAATTCCTACCGGAGGTTCCAACACGATCCCCAATGTCAGACCTTCTACATGCCATACCTTAAACAACAGCAATACAAACAAAAACTTCATAAACAACCTATCCAAAGGCTAAGTGACCACAAACCCAGGCATCATGTTTGATATTTTCCCGACCGAGATCACAAATCAACCTCCCTTCCTATGGAAACATTTACTTGCCTGGCAATCTATCACCACCAATGCCTGGTTTCTGTCCATCGTCCAAAATGGATACCATATCCATTTCCATCAACTCCCTCTGTCACATCACATAGTCACTCCACCATCCCAAACTCTACAAGAAGAGATAAAAAATTTACTCACCAAAGATGCAATAGAACCTATACAACAAAACAACAGCAGTTTTTTCTCTCATTATTTCACCATCTCCAAAAAAGATGGAGGTTTACAACCTATTCTAGACCTCAGAGAACTCAATATGTTGTCACCACAAAATTCCATATGGTAACCCTTGAATCTGTTCTACCTCTTCTCAGAAAAAAACACCTGGTTCACAGTCGTACATCTATAAGATGCATACTTCCACATCTCCATCCACCCTTCCCACAGACAGTTTCTCCTTATCCAACTTTGGCCCCAAGCCTACCAATTCAAAATACTTCCTTTCGGACTTGCAACAGCTCCAAGAGTCTTCACCAAGTACATGGCCCCAGTGATTGCCTTTCTCAGACTTCAAAAGATCCTTGTCTTCCTGTACACAGATGACTGGGTCCTTGTAGCTTGTTCCCGGCGCAAAGCTCGTCAGGATACCCTTTTCACCTTATCCCTTCTTCGCAATCTCAGTCTCATGGTCAATATGCAAAAATCCAAAATGAGTCCTACAAGGGTTATTCATTATATCGGGGCTTCAGTTGACTCCACCCGAGCTTGTACATTTCTCCCACTTGACAAACAACAAAACATTATCTCCCTCCTCCAAGGCTTCACCCCCCCACACGCTTTGGTCCCTGCCATCCTTGTCCAACGTGTAGTGGGCACCATGGCTTCCATGCCTCAGTCGTACAACACGTATGCCTGAAGATGAGGTCTCTACAATCGTGGTTTCTCAGATCCTCCCAACACTCTTAAGAGTTACTCCCGAACTCACCTGACAACTCCAATTGTGGCGCTTCATCCCAAATCTCTCCATGGGATGCCCTTTCCAGTAACCACATCCTCAAATACATGTCACAACTGACGCCAGCCTTATCCACTGGGGAGCGCATTACAGCTCTCAAAATTCATGCCAATAGGTCCCATAGAGAACATTCACTCCACATCAACGAGTTAGAACTATTAGCGATGATAAAGGCATGCAAAGCATTCAGAAACATTCTAACTGGCAAGGTGGTCGAGATTGCCACCAACAACACCACTACTATGTACAGTACTACATTTTCAAACAAGGTGGCACCCACTCCCCAAGCCTCCTCTGTTTGGTGGTCAACCTATGGGAATGGTGCCTCACGGCTCTGCACATTGCAGGCCAGGACAATGACCTAGCAGACTCTCTCAGCCGGACAAACTCACAACCCCACGAGTGGGAATTAGATCAAACAAATTTTCTCTGCCTGTGCAAAAAGTGGGGCAAACCAATTCTGGACCTTTTTGCCTCGTGCAACAATTGGAAATGCAGATGCTATTGCTCCTGTGCTGGGATCAGCAAACACTCCCGAGGAGACACGTTCATTGGCTGCTGGCCCAAGACATACCTTTTCCCACCATTTCCGCTCCTCCAAAGGGTAATTGTCCGAATACAGCAGGACAAATCCAACGCCATCCTCATTGCTCCTTGGTGGCTGAGACAGCCTTGTTTCCCAGTGCTATACCACCTGTCCTCTGACATCTATCAGATCCCCCGCCTACCACACCTCCTCATGCAGAACAACTCCCGGATCCTTTATCCTGACTTACCTGCTCTGCATCTGGCAGCGTGGAGGATTCTCCCTCCTTGATGGACTTACCTGTATAAATGGCAAAAAAATTCAATCTTTTACTACAGCTGTTTCCCTTCCTGCTATCAACCGATCTCTCTCCACGGTCCTCCGATTTTTGCTCCGTCTCAAATATTCTGGCTTTTCTCTCTCGTCTATTAGAGTCTATCTCTCAGCAGTTGTCTCTTACCAACCACCAACCTCTCCAGCGGCTTGATTTTTCAGACATCCCACACTCGTGCTTTCTTAAGGGATTGTCACACACTTACCCAGACATTCACCTGCCTTTTCCACAATGGTCCTTGACTCTAAAGATCCTTGACTTTTCCACAATGGTTGACAACTCACTAAGCCTCCCTTCTAACTGCTAGCCACAGCGGATCTCCGTTTACCTACCTTCAAAATGGTCTTTCTCACGCAATTACTTCAACTCGCTGAGCAAGCGACCGTGCGGCCCTACGCCATGATTGTCCTTAAATTTATTTATTTTATTTATTCTGTTTATATCCTGCCTCTCTGGTCAGTTATGACCACTCTATCAATTCTATCCTGATAAAGCTATTTCTCAATGTCTCGTTCCTTCCTAAAGTGGTGTCTTAATTTCATCTGTCTCAACCACTCGCCCTCCCATTTTTCTTTCCGTCACCGTCCACAACCCTCAAACGATTTCTTCATACTTTGGACATCAAGAGGGCCCTCTCCGTCCCGTACATAACCTTTTTGACCTTCCCCACGCCTTTTTGTCAGTCATCAATTTCCTAACAAAGGCCTACAAGTCACTTCTCAAGCAATTTCTCGCTGGGTTGCTTCTACTATTCGGCTTGCTTAACAGCTGGTCCCTCAAGCTATTTGCCCTCATTCCACCAGGGCACTAGCGACCTCTACAGCATTCCTACATGATGTGCCTCTCCCTGAAATCTGTGCCTTGGCTACATGGGCACAACCGTCTAAAAAAAGTCCTCTTCAGGTAAGCTTTTTAATTCCTGTCTCAGGAATTCTTTGTTTTTACAAATTTTTAAACATTTTAAAATTGTTTTTAACCTTGGTTTTTAATCTAAACATATGTTTTTTTAAATATATTCATATAGTACTTTAAACTGTTCACTGTTTTATAGTTTTGGTTGTTGTGAGTTGTCTTGTATCTCTTATGGGGAGAAAGGGGCCATATAAATAATATAAATGAATAAAACTTTATTTAGCAATAGATGAATTGAGCTACTCCTCTGGAATACGTTGTGTTCTTCTACTACAAAAGAGTTGGTGGCTGCGTTGAAACAGGTCATTTAAACTAAGTAACTATTCTTTTATTCACAGCTGTGCTGTCAGGGTACTGCTTATCTTTACATGCCATAAAATCTCCTTGGAACGTGGAGAAGAAAATGCACAGCACCAAGGCAGTAAAAACTCATTGTAGTACAGTGGGAGAACTAGCAAGAGGCTGGCAGAGCTGGTCAGAAGATCATGCTGATTATCAAAGACGGAATCCATTCAGCACCAGCAAGCCAATAACTGGACGTACTGAGAGGGGAGATCCCACTTATGGGAAACCCCCCGAAGGCTCCAAAACAGAACAGAGAGGAAAAGATGCTCACACACATATAGGCAAGGAGGTGGAGGAATTATGCTTGGTTATATGTAGTGTTGGGAAAAGAGGACAAGATGGATATATGAGAATAACATTTAAACAGCTGTTTGACAGATATGTGACTATATCAAATAAAGTTGTAGGTGTCCTGTTGAGGGCAAGAAAACATGGCCTTGTTGATTTTGAAGGTGAGATGCTTTGGCAAGGAAAAGATGATGAAGTTGTTATTACCTTATTTGAAAACCATGGCTGAACAAATGTTGTTGCATGATAGATTGGAAACATTTTCAAAGCCTGAAATATTAACCATGACAGTTGGTGATGACAGTGAAGAAAATGCTACCAGATGGCGATATGTGAGAAACACAAATGATAGTCTTTGCCAATGAATTCTGCAGTGTTTCTTCGAGCCTACTTCTTATAAAATATATATTTCAAAATATGAAGTCTATCACAAGACCACAGAATGATCTGTGAATCAATGCATGTTAGCACCTTACTTGAAAATAAGATGTTATGCTGGAAGTATAAAGGCCAAAATAAATGGAAGTAATATGAACACAATATTTTAGTACTTTTGTATGTTGAGTCTTATTGTGCCACAGAAAGAGGAGTACAATATACAGTTGGACCCCTGTATCTGTGGTTTCACTTATCCACAATTTGCTACAGCCCTAAATGCAACATACAAGGGCTCCCCCTTGTATGTTATATAGAGTCCCTGGTATCTGCAGTTTTGGGCATCCATGGTAGATCAGAGAGCCAATCCCCAGCAAATATAGGGCCCTACTGGATATTTTAACTTTGAAATGAGCCATCACTAAAAGAACAATTTAAAAAAATTGTTTATCTCTTATGTGCCATCAAGTTGAAATTGACTTACAGCAACCCTAATAAGGCTTTCAAGATAAATGAGATATTTAAGGAGTGGTTTTACCTGTTCTGCTGCCCATTGAGTTTCCATAGTCAAGCAAGGACTTTAACCCACGTCTCCATCACTCTGTGCATTACACCACACTGGTAGATTTTTAAAAATTATAAGCCTCAATTCTCCAAAAGCTGTTGAGTATAACTTGGTTAGATGGTTGTTGTGGGTTTTTCAGGCTCTTTGGCCATGTTCTGAAGGTTGTTCTTCCTGACGTTTTGCCAGTCTCTGGGGCCGGCATCTTCAGAGGACTGGAGTAGGAAGTCCTCTGAAGATGCCGGCCAGAGAGACTTGCAAAACGTCAGGAAGAACACCCTTCAGAACACGGTCAAAGAGCCCGAAAAACCCACAACAACCATTAGATCCCGGCCGTGAAAGCCTTTGAGAATAAACTTGGTAAGAGTTTGGAGGTGTGAATTTAAAAGCCATGTACTTTTGACAGAGCTGTTGAAGTAGATGAAAGGCTCTTACCCATCTTTCCAGAACCAATGAATGATAAAAACTCTCCATAATACTTTTAGTCAAATATGACAGTATTCAAGGTAGATAATTTTTTTATTAGGGTTCTTCTCATAGCAGTATTAAGTTAGCAGTTACTGTTTCCAAGGTACATTTCATAGTTTTCTTACATACACACCAAACACATTTCCTTACATAAGACACCATACACAGAATTTTCACACATATTTACTTTAATATCTGTGTGGGTAAAAAGATAATCCTCAGGCCTGCTTCATCACTTTTACCAACAGCAGTTAGAATTAGGTCTAAGTATCAATGTAAACACAAGCCAAGTCTCCAATGCATAAACATGAACATTCTAAAACTGAAGAAACATAAATGATTATTGTTTCATATTCTCAACACCAATATATATTATGTAAAACGATCTCACTGGCAATACAGCAGGTGAGAACATACAATTTAATGAGTGCACATTCAAGTCGTCTGTGTTATGAGATCTGATTGAACTTCAGATGTCTGCATAGAATATTTATGAAAAAAGATGGACAGTTAGTCCATCCAAACAAAATGTGTTATAGACGTTCATGCCAAGCAGTAAAGCATCTCCAGTTTTGACATTCCTGATGTCTGAGTGTAGACACTGCCAAACTGACATTCTAATGCTCTAATGCTTCTAATTCTAATCACTCTAATGCTTCATGTTCCCAAGTGGTCAAAGTCAATGTATAGGTGACTCTTTAGTTCAAGTGTAAGCCTCCAATACTTTGTACATTTTATATTCTACTTTAATTCACCTACCTATCCTAAGATAATGCTTTTAATTATTTACATTTAAATACAGCCCCAAATCAGATAACTTTATCTTCATCTAGCACAATACCACATTAGTAGTACCAGTTTAAATCAGAATGGCTTAACTGTTCTTGTTTTATGTAAAGTCAGGTACATTTAAGTGATGTGATTTAGCACCAAGACACCAGAGCTAACACTAGCTCTGCAATGTCTAAGTAAGGCGTCAAAGGCACAAAACCTTATTATTATGCATATATTTAATCACACAGTCTTTCACAGGATTAGTTATTACTTGTTCTTACAAAAAGTTCAGTACTTTTGATTTTGAGATCAGCAGATGGGGAAGCTCTGAGAAGTGCTCTTGCACTCCCAATATTTGCCTCCGAGATATAGTGTACAATTGTCATAAGTTTAACCATTGTGTAGCAGCAGATTCAGAACCAGTTCTCAAAATTTTGTCATGTTGTCAGTTATATCCAACCCTACAATAGGTGTTCAGAGGTCAGAAACAAAGACACATGAAAGTGCATTTCAGCTGGTAGCACTGTCTGCCCTGAGCCGGTCTATCAGTTGTTCAGCCTGTTAAAGAGAAAATGTGTGCAATATTAGTGTTGTTGTTTTTCTTTTGAAACTGTTTGTCCCTTGAAGCTCACAAGACTACTTCATAATTTGCTTAAAAACATCAAGCTGACTGAGAGAAACAGGAGTGAACTGATTTTCACAAATAAATAAGACACCAACCTCCTGAGCAATGTTATAGTTTCCTAAAGCATTTTAGGGAATGGGAGTTAACATATCAATCCCCAGTGTGTCTCTGCAGGAATCTAATCAAGGACAGTGGTTGATAAGAGACATAGTGAAGACTCCACTTTCTTTTTTCTTACTGGCAACCTGTTTTATTATGGCTGTTATTTATTGCTAAAAACCAGCCTCTCAATTTTGCCCCTTTATGAAAGTTTGTGCCTTTTTCCAGGAGGACAATTTACACAGGCAATTATGCAGTGAAAACTGCAGTTTTCTACTCCCACCCCTTGGAGTGAACAAGCTGTTAGCACATATCTGATACTGAAACTCTCAGCAGCACAGCACCAGTAAAAAAAAATACAAAAGGATGCATCCATGTGTCCATGTTTCAGGGGTATGAGCTGAATGATTTATAACATTGATTTTTTGCTGTTAAGGATGTAACTCTAAGATGATGTTTCTTTTGTAAAAGAAATTGCTTATTAAAACTGGCTCCCAAATTCAGTCTGTATAGCAGATGGCAAGCAGCAATTTTGCAATACACATAGGGATGCCTTTCATTTTTCTAGGTTCGGGGGGGGGGAGGCTGAAGAGTTGGCTCCATATAAGAAGCATTCCCTGAACAGAATTTAACTCAGGATGAGTGCTGAGGTACAATTTGTGATAATTTTCCCTCCCTTGTTGCCCTCAGACACCATGTCTCATGCTCGTCGAGAAAGCCCTTCTATCTTTCAAAGCAGATTTTGGGTGAGGGAGGCAGTCAACAAAACTGAATATTGAGAAACTTACAGTGATAAACCAGTAGGAATTGAATCTGTACACCATTCGGGATAAGAATCCCAACTGACTAGCTGGAGCCAGGACATGAAGATGCAAGTGGGCAATTGAGCAGAATGGAGGCCAGTGAAAACCCATCCTTGAGAAAACGAAGAAGAGGAACTGGAATCAATTATTCAGTGGTTTCAGACAAGAACCATCATCCAGTAGTATTTACAGTTCATTAAGATGATATTGGGACAAAGAAAACTTTACAGTGGACAACTTATTCCAAAGAATTGTGTGTTTTTTTTTAATAAAAATAGAGTTGATATGAAAGTCAAATCATTTCTCCACTCTACTAGCAAATTCCATTTCTTCATACTTCTAATGCACAATTAAGCACTATTGCATTAGATTAACAAAGTAGCTGATCCATTTAGTGGAGAATCTTTGGTCATTTATGTTTTTTGGCTTACAACTGCCATCAATCCATGGGATCTGTAAGCCAAAAACATCTAGAAAACCAAAGAGTCCCCATTTATGCCCTGCAGGTTGTACTAATTTGCAGAAATTATTCACACTAGCATCCACTGTCATTTCTTCCCATCTGGAATAATATCAGGAAACTACTCTGCATTTGGGAACTTGAGGTGCAATTCCATGTTGTATATGGCTACTAAGAAAATGCTCAGATATAAGTCTGTAATAGAGTGCTGGCTTCCTAGTATAGGTGCACTCAGCCACATTACATGTGCTGTATTTACTAATTGGGCAAAACTTTTGTAATGGACATATCAGATACTTTTCTTTCTGACAATATACCTTATATCGTTCAAGTCAGTAAATTTATTCCGCTGAAGGACAGTCTTTCCAGCTGCCATCATTCTTTCCACTGTCAGATAAGGGTAAGGAACAATGTAATTAGATTTAAAATTCATTCATTTCCCAGTACATTGATTCAACAACTCAGTCCTATGCTCATTTAAATAGATGAATGCCTGGTTGGTTTCAAAATGGATTTAGTCCTAAGAAGAGACTAATTAAATTCTGAACAAATAGCATGGGTCTCCCTGTGTGGACTTTTTAGCTATAAAAATAACCAAAATAATTGTTTCTAGACTTGCAAGTAATTGTGCTGTTATTCCTGGCACAGGGAGAGAAACAAAGCTGAGTGTCAAAGTTCTCACACACCCTGATACTATCTAGTTAAAGGAAAGCAATGAAGAGAAGAACCCCACTCCCTGGTTGCCCACCCTTGCAAAAAAAATACAGGGTTGAAAATGAGTGGTCCATCAAATTTCAGAAGCAAGGTTCCCTCTGCTCTGGACTCCTCCTCCTCCACTCACCCACAACTGCTGTTTTCAACCCCTTTGCTTCCGGTCACGGGAGGGGGAGATCATCGCACACATGAGGGGCAGAGCCCTGCCTAGTGGAGTTAAAAATTAAGAGGGAATGTTGCTCAAAAACAATTAAGGATGATGGGAGTATGCAACTCACCTAATGGTATATGCTCACTCTTCAGAGTCTTGCAGTTTCCCATATGTTTTTTTGGCACCACCAAATAATGATGTGGAGCTCCAGGTCTGATATCTCTAAAGCACACCAAGTCTTCATGCTAAAAAAAACAGTAGCAGTACAATTTTTTTTAATGAAATGGCCTGATAAACAGCAAAATACAAAAAGGTTTTACTGTTGCACATCTGATAGATTCCTACATATTGCTATATGTCCAGAGGAAAAAAGAACCTTTCTTACAGTGTAAGTTCAACAACATAAGAAATATGGCACATATGCCTCCTAGGTGCTATCTGGCTGCAAAAACTTCACTACAGAAATTGTACAAGCAGATTTGGCTCCCTTCCAGTGATCAACCTGATCAACAAGATGGAAGTCTGAAAACAGTTCAGACAACTGCCCTTCAAAGAATATATGAAACAGTTGCAAAAAGAAAAAAGGGAGGAAAAAGCTCTTAACAACCCTGTAGCATATACCCCACAGAGAAGGAGCCTACAGATTCTGAGGTCCATGGAGGGGTGATCCTGAACGATAAGATATCTGACTTAGAAAAAGGAGTGTTATATTCATATGAGATATAAATGCAGAGCCACATTACAGGTGAGGACAGTGGGAGATGAGGCCTCAGAACACATTGGTGGACTGGCCTATGCACCCCCTTCATAGGGACATACTGTAGGACACTACATCATAAAGAATTAGACCACTGATCATCTAGCTCAGTACAATCAATTCTGACTGGAAGCAGCTCTCCAGAGTTTCAGGCAGCAATCTTTCGTACTCCTACCTGAAGACACTGCGGATTGCACCTTGGGTATTCTGCATGCCATTGAGCTACAGGCACTCTCTCATCCCTCCCCCACCTGTTTTTTATAATGAACACATCTTCCCTATTAGTGTAATGGTTGCTGATTTCTTATTTAATGTTCTCTTTTTGAGCTCTGGAGCAAATTGTAGATGCTGTTACAACAGACAAAAAGGCACTGAGGTTAAGTGGGTGGGGCAGGCACTGTACAGGCTGAAGGAAAAGGCTTCAAAGCTATTAACTCTGGGAGGTTCCATGGAACGTTTCACATAGGCACAAAACCCATTTTGTGTGAACCACAGAGACCATGATGATAGAGTCTCTATACTGTGCCCTTTTCACAGTGTAGAGACTGTTGTGCATGTGTCCTTTGTTCCTACACTAGACATCCATGTGTTTTTTTACAATTAACTGCACTGAAAGGTTCCTCAGTATCATGAAGATGCTGCAAAAGAAAAAGCCATGGGATAATTCTTAATGTTTTATAACCTGAAATTAATAGGAAAACTACTCAAAAGGAAAATAAATTTGTCCTTTGCCTCTTATTCTCATTTACAGCATCACACCTATAGAATATTATTCTACAAATCAGTTTCTAAGCAAATTGATGGATATGTCTTTTTCATAACATTTAACTTTCAGTTAAATCATTTTAACTTCCAGTTAACTTGACCCTGAATCATGTCAACAGTCATTTTAAGCTCCCTTCTACTCCAGCCCCATAGGGTAGTTTCCACTGATTCAATGGAAGAAATAGCCTTAGTGAGAGATGATACACTAATAAAAATCTGCATTGAAGCCGAAACCAGAACCTAGGGCTGTAATTGATTTACGTTGATGTAGGAGCAAAGAATGCATACAATGAATTTACCACTGAGCAAAAATCTTTAGGATTGCACTATGGGGCTCTTCTCAAAAGAGTGATATTCACAGTCTTCAGTAAAGTCAAAAGGGGGTCACAGTCACACACAGGCACAAAGAACAGATCTTCGAATAAAGGTTCAGATGAAATTGCTTATAAGGTCAGCAGTGGCAGAAGATCTACTAATTTGAAAAGGAAGGGAGGGAGGTGAGGTGATTCCAATATGTATAAGTATTGTTTATACTGTATATGTAATCTGTAATATTGGTGTGTTTCCACTGATATAGAAGTATGCCTGTTAGGAATGCTTGCATGGGAAGAGTCCTGGAATTACTGACAGATACTGATATGGTGATATATGGTCCCAAGTGCTGATTGGAGAGAATTAGGAGATGCGCGAGAAGTGGCAGTTGGTTTGAAAGTGTGGTTCTGAAGCAGTTGGGTTTTTGTGTAGTAGCAAGTAGTGTGACGTATGTATGTATGTATGTATGTATGTATGTATGTATGTATGTATGTATGTATGTATGTATGTATGTATGTATGTATGTATGTATGTATGTATGTATGTATGTATCGTGAAGAAATAGGAAGTTGAGGACTTTTCTCTCTCCTGTTTATGAAGCCAGGAATTTTCTTTTTCTTTCTCTCTACCTACTTGTTGTTTCAAAATAATTTCCTTTTGTTTTGTTCAAAATAAATTCTCATCATTATTTTTCAATTGGTCTTAGCAGGTTTTACATGGCAAACAAGTCATTACACCTATGTGCCAGTAGGCTATGCTGCAGACTTAAGCAGCATAGTTTTATCAAAGTGGTTCTTTCCACAAACCATCAAAGAATTACATAAACCCAAAATCATGGATTTTATGTTGTTTTAATAAAACCAGCATGGTCAAGGTGTCACTGACTGGAAAGCACCATTAACAGAGCAAACTGAAATACTGGGAAAGGTTTGGTGCTGTTTTGTCTCTGGTAAAATACCCAAACCAGCAGCACAAGTATATAGTGGCTGGATGTGTGATGTGCAGAATGTGATTCGACACACAGGGAGCGTGACTCACACTGAAGTGCTGCCGTGGGTAGGGCCATCTCCCTCGGGTTGTTGGGGGGGCACTGCATTTGGGCAGAAATTATGCAGATGAAAACCTGTTAGTAGGTCATGCAGGGGAGATAAAACTGAAATTTACAACACAATTAGCTTGTAGTCACAGAAACATTTTTTTAAAATTGAAGGTTATTTTGAAGCTAGGAAAAGTTCATTAATATATTGTTGTGGTGTAATAAGACAGCAAAGGACTCCTCACGTGCCTCTGATAAAAGGTGTCAGACGCAAGCTGTAGGGAAACAGCGAAGTACATAGGATCATAGGTAGCTGCTCTATGCTGAGTGAGACGCCTGGTCCATTTAGCCCCGTGTTTTCTGACTAGCAGCAGTGGCTCCCCAGACAGGATTCTCTCTTTCTTCCCACCCCCTCGCCCCCCAACCTGGAGATCCCCGGGTATTCCACAATGGTCTCCCATCCAAGTATTAACCAGGCCTAACCATTCTTAGCTCCCAAAAATCAGGCGAGATCAATGCGTTCAGGGCAGTCACGTTTTGTGTTTGGCTTTTCTGACAAATGCTGGAGAAGCACTCTTAGCATTAGAACATATCTGTTTTAAAAATTATTTTTAAATATGCCTATATCCCGCTCCCAGCCTTCCTGGGAGCCCATGCTTTCCCACTGTGGGAAACCAGGGCTGAAGGAGAGGACGGACCCAGGGCTCCTCTCGTTGGGGGTGCCATGTTCTAGCTCGGGCATCCACCCTCCCCACGGATAAGGGAGAGGCTCTTCTGGCGATGAGGAAGCGAGTGGTGGGACAGCGATGGGACGGAGGGATGGAGGGATGAAAAACCACCTGGCAGGAAGGACGGTCGAGCATCCAACCTGAGCCGCCTCAGCGGCCGCTTCCTCCCCTGCGATGCCTTTTCTTTTCCCCGGGGGCGGGTTGAGGAAAAATATCCGCCTCACCTCGCAAGGCAGCAGCTCGGTGCCCGCCTCCTCCCCGTGGCTGATCCGGCAGAAAATGCACTTGCTGTCATAGCCGGCTCCTCCGGCTCCGCCTTCTCCTCCGGCCGCTCCAGCTCCGCCGCCGGCACCGGGACTGGCCTCCGCCGCAGGAGACGAGCCCGAGCCGCTGCCGCCGCCGCCTCCGCCTTCTTCCTCGGCCATGAGGCAATTCCCTTCGTTGGGCACGGCGAGAAGAAAGGGCGGCGAAGGGAGGCCGCTGGCGGCGCGGACGGAGCCCAACAGCAACGCTTCCCCACCGCCGTCGACGCGGCCTTCCGCCTTTTGCGGCCTTTGCCGGCAAGCCGAGAGGACGGCGAGCGCCCCCTAACGAGGGCAGGCGGGAGGACGGCTCTGGCGCGACGCCGAGGGCGAGCTTTGGAGGGAAAGGAGGTGGGCCGAGGGAGGGCGCTCGCTCGCCGGCTCTCCCCTCCCTCCTCTCCCCCCCCCGCGGCCCCCTCTCAGCGGGGGATGTCTCCCGTTTTAGGAGCAGGGAAGGGATGCCCCCCCCGTGCCCGACTTCAGTGCAAAAGGAAGCGCTGGAGCGGGGCCTTACTCAGGAGCCGCCCGGCGTGAAAGCGTGTTTCCTAAAGGAAGCCGCCGGGCGTACGGGAGCCCATATAGGGCTTCTCCCCCTGTGGAGAGAGCCTTGCGGGTGGGAGCGGCAGGTGGGACGAGGCGGGGCGAAGCGGGTCTCTGAGGGACCGGTTGCCAGGGAGACAGTGGTCGGGTGAGGTGTCACTCAAGAGGGCCATCAGGGAGATAGAGAGAGGAAACGAAGCTGGGAGCTGCTTGGCTTGGTGAATTTGGGAGCTGTGGTTGTACTGGGAGAGCGAGTCTATCTATGCTGCTCTTTTTGCTATTCCTCTCCTGGCAGGACGCTGGGCACCACACCCTTCAAAAGGGGCAGCTTTCAATCATGAGGCTGTTTTGCCAAGAGATTTTCCTTCTTGCCCTTCTTTGAATGATGAGCTGTAACAATCTATGCCTGAAATCCAGAACTACGCGTCACAACTAATGAAGGCCCACTGAATCAATGCATTTTCGTTTCTCATTACCTGACTGAAGTACAGTATTTGAGCTTTCTGCAGTTTACATGGCCTGTGCTTTCTTGGCCTGTGTTTATTTGCTTTAGTTACTGAGGTTTACTTTAGGGTTGGTCATGGTCACCCTCCTGATCTCAATTTATATACTGTACTGAGAGATTTTCACATTCCATGGTCATCAATAGTAATAATGTTTGATCATGTGATCTGTAAAATAGTCCTAACTTATGCTTCGGAAGGGGAAAAAAATGGCCATATTGCTTTCAAGACTATCTACTTTGCCAGGATTAGCCCACCCCCGGCACAGAATATTTATTACATAATGTGTGTGCTGTCAAGTGAATTCAGACTTACAGCAACCCTTTCCAGGCTTTTCTAGTTAGAAGATCTATAGAAGCGGTTCCTTTCTTCTGTGGGTGCCCTGACACTATGCAGCTTCATTCCTAACCCCATGGAAACAGCTGACGTGAATACTTGCTAGGTGCTCTCAGACCTACCTTTCCTCAATTGTTACTTTAAAACAGGAATGCTTCCAGGGGAGTCACCCTCTTGGAGCATTGCAACAAAATGCAAAGAAGAACCTTGTGAAATTTCTTAGAATTTTTATTGCACAATGAACTTAAAATTGGCTAGAGGCCACATCACCACATGCAAGACAAACAAGGTGTTCTCCTTCATTGGGATATCTCTTTCTGCACCAGACACAATGAGTGCTACTCCACAAAGGCTTTTGTTAGCCGTGCCACACAGCTCTGGTTTTTTTGTGTGTATTTTAGGGTTAAAAGCACAAAAATGGTTCTGAGACTGAATCTATGTGTGCAATTACATCCTAAAAATAAAAGCATGCACAGGGAGCTTAGGGAATGATGTGGTTCAGGATCTGAATTTGCCAGATCCCATCTTGACAGATTACTGTATGGGGAGAGCCTTCATTTTGCATGCAGTTTCTGGATCTGTGCCAGGCATCTTGAGGTTAGGGACACCAATCCATCTGAAACCTGGAGATCCATTTGGTGGTTGTTATTGAACAGAATGTTGAGCTAGATGGATCAATGGTTTGATTGGGTATGAAGCTTTTAATGTTCAGTAATAATCCTGTGTGCCTATAAATGTGCAGAATGTGGGTCCTTTCTCTGGCACACACAAAAACAAGTTTAGGCAGGCTGTCAAAAGGTTTGTTAGGAGATTTAGGTGGCCCCAAATTTGGCGCGGAAGCAGGCAGAGTCAAATTGTCCGAACCATAACAATTTTTATTCAAGTTTAACAACGGTGTATCTATAGCAACTTCTATGGGGATGAACAAGTCCCAATTATTCAACTGTCTATACATTCTACCATATTGGTCACAAACATAGTTCCTCTTCAAAACTGGGGTGCCAGTCCAAATCTCTCCTTGTCCATAGGCTTCCTCAGAGATGCGCTCCTTACCGCGCATATAGTGCAGCAGCACAGACGGTGGGCCCAATCCCTCTCCGCGGGTGGCTTGTTGAAGGTGGAATCCGGCCGCACCATCCTTCTTCCAGGGACTGCTTCCCCTCGGATACACTACTACTGTCCATTCTCTTGTCTCCTTCACAATAATTCCTTTTTTATCCAACACCGCCAACCTTTAAGTTGGGCAAGTCCTTCAGTAAGTTACCAACATCTTCCAACTTCTTCTCCTCCTCCCTCTTTCCAGTCTCGATCCGAAAATCCCACGCTCCTGTCCCTGCTTTTATATCCTCCTCCCAAACATCTACCATTGCTCCTCCACTTTCCCTTTCCCCTCTTCTGACATGCACACTTCTATTTTAACTCTTTCCTAGTCATTTTCCCCTTTGACACGTCTCTCTCCTCTCCTTCCCCTTTAATGTCCTTTCTTTCTGGAGGAGATGGCGCATTCTGCTCCTCCTGTCCTTCACACAGGCCTTCTTCAACTGTATTTGAAGTATTCAGCTTTTAGGGATGGGCTTCATTTTTTGACTGAACTGCAATTATTATTATTTTTAACAGCTTTTAACATAGTTTTTAGCTGCATTCTGTTTTGATAGTAATTTTAATATTTACAATATATTCTTTAAAAAATATATATGTAAGTTTTCTTAGCTTTCAGTGTCTGGAGAAAGGTGGGATACAAATCAACCTAGATTCTACCGTTCCTAGATAAGTTTCCCATACTTCTTGTTACACTTTCCAGGTTTTCCTATTGCGTATGGTGACATTTAGCACTATTTATTCTTTCTGTAGGCTGTAAGGCAAAGGTAAAGGTTCCCCTTGACATTTTTAGTCCAGTCGTGTCCGACTTTAGGGGGTGGTGCTCATCCCATTTTCCAAGCTGCAGAGCCAGCGCTTGTCCGAAGACAGTTTCCATTGTCACGTGGCCAGCGTGACTAGGGAACGCCATTTTACCTTCCCACTGAGATGGTGCCTGTTTATCTACTCACATTTACATGCTTTTGAGCTGCTAGGTTGGCAAGGAGCTGGGACAAAGCGACAGGAGCTCACTCCGTCACGTGGATTCGATCTTACGACTGCTGGTCTTCTGACCCTGCAGCACAGGCTTCTGCGGTTTAGCCCACAGATAGCTTTATATGCTATCAATTAAAAGTCATCTGCAACCAGTTAGACATCAATAGGTTTGTAGATTTCATAGGTTTAGGCAGAATCAGGCTATATAGCTTGGTTGTATATCTACAGTGTGGAAATATTACTTTATTGCCTGTATGAGTATAAAAGGACAAATTTTTGCCACCAGGAGCTTTTCAGTCTAAAATCTGCAGATGAAACCACAAAGGCAGGGAAGGGGAACGGAGGTAGGAATAACATGGAAACAGTGGAAGATGATCTTAGTTATAGATGCTTAGGCTTAGTTGCAGCAACATGACAGGAGGACATGGGAACAAAGGAGCTGTGTTATGAGCTTCAAGAAAAAGGTGGGTTTTAAGAAAGAAGCAGCAGTGATGGCTAGGATTCTGGGAAGAAGTTTCAGAAATAAGAGGAAGGAACGGTAGAATCTTTTGAGGGAGCAGAAGACCAAATGCTTAAGTGTGGTGAAATCGGAAAGATTAATGTAATGAAAAGACCTGTATCAGGAAATAAGAGTGTATAGAAGAAATGAGCCTTTTATACAGTGTCGAGCATCAGAAAAACAAAATGTCAAACATATGAATGCATAAATTCCTTTATTGAAAATGTTGCAATAGCACTGCATTACATACATTAAATATCCATCAGCTTTGAGGGGCCACAGAATTTTGATAAGACAACACTGTTTTTGAATAAAGAACACAAAGGTTTCAGATATGCTCGGACTAGAATAATATAATGGAATAAACTGCAGGTAAGAGCTGTGTAATGTCAATTAAATTTCCTTGGAACTCACAAGTGACTCATCATTCGTAAAACCATATTTTAAGAGTTTCCTGGAGTATTTCCAAAGCGTTATGCCAATAACAGTTCATAGTTACAGTGAAACACTATCAAGAGTATATTGGCAATCATAAAACTTAGTTGGAAATGTGAACAGCTTAGGTGACAGATATTAACATCTTTACACATGATGAACAGTCTGCGTAACAGTCAACAGTAATAGCCTATTATTACACTGTGTAGTAAGCTCAATGTGAAGCTTATTACACAGCTCTACACTGAGCTACTTCATGTAGAGAATTGGATGTCTCCCACATGTGAGGAATGCACACATTTCTATTGTAGATAAATGCTGCAATCCAGACACAATTGCTTGCACATCTGCCACAGCACTGACACACTCCAAAACAGATCTGTGTGTTCTCCCTGTGTGACTATACAAAGTAAAAAAAATGCTAGCCCTGTTTAGGCATTCATATTGCCAGCCTACCTGAATGCATGAATGAAGAATGGGGTGGGGGCACATGACATAGCCCCCATGGCACCACATGTATAGTGCAGGAATCTCTAGAGGTGAGATCTAAGCTGTATGTGTGCAAGTCTCTTGACTGCAGATGTCTGTGCCATACACATGGAGGAGCACGTACATCACACTGGCAAACAGAGGATAGTGCTCCACAGCAGAGTTCCATTCACATAAGCTGAGATAAGAATTCCTAAATAGGGCTGCTTACCCCACAGAACTAGTATACTATGAATTTTGTGTATTAAGCAAAGGAGGGCTAGTAGTAGTTGTTCTTCATAGAAAATCAAGCCAGAAAGAACAACTATGCTTTCTAGGTTTGGTTAGGCTGATAAAATCATATAGCATAACACAGAGAGAGTGAAAGAGTATCAACTCCATCTGTTAGCGAGTAGAACCCATCCTTCTGATTTTATTCCAGGTTGGTTTGATTATTTTCATGTCAGCTGGAAGTAAACCACTGTGAATAGGACATACCTGCCACAAAGCAGCAAGTTTATCTGTCAGGTTGCAACCTGAGTTGAAAGAGGTGCCTGATGAAAGAATCCTAAGTAAGTTGATGATTGAGTAGTACTTTTCAAGAAGCATAAATGCAGACTTTAAAAGAAAATCCTTTCCCCAATGTTGAACTAAATTTATTTTTCATAAAATGTATGAAAGCCCCCCAATATATGAAGCGCTAGTATTACATATATTGGAGCTGGGTGAGAGTTATATCTTTTGTTCTGTTTCTATCCACCTTTTTTTAGTGGCAAGGAAATACTCCTAAATGCTTGCATCTGTCAATTAATTTACCAAACTGAATTTAGAGTCAGTGTTGTCAAGTAATATATATCCCTGAATGAACAACTGCTTGCTTTCATGAAAATGTCACCAATATTTTCTTTTAGCCAAAAAAGAAAAACTACCTTGCTATAAAAGCGGAAGTCAACCATTAGTTTAAAATATTTGAGTGAGAGAACATTTGATCAAAAGCGCTAAACTCATTTGGCATTACCCTAATATTTTTCTCTGTTAAAGACTTTCAAGTAATTTATATAGTATAACTTAAAAACCATTTTCAGCTCTACAGCAACATGGGGGTCTTTTTGAAGCTATTTCTCATCTTGCTAACCAATTAAAAACAGGATCTCCGAACATTTCCACGTAACCACATAGGAATATCTGATAATGAATGCTGACAATGCACTTATCCCAACAATCCAGAATAGCGTGTTCTGTCAAAAACCAAGATCTGTAAAATAATTAGAAAAGAGCAACATAGGTATTTCTTTTACAAAATTAAAAAAAATCACAACAAAATATAAAAAAACCCTTAAGAAAATGAACCATACATCACTATTGCACTGAAGACATCTACTTCAATACATCTTTCCAGAAAATTCTGAAATTTGAAATGTTAAAAGGAAAAACATGCCTATCACATTTCAGAAAAAAATTACTATACAAATAATAAATACATTATTTAAAAAATGTTCCTTTTAAGTGCTGTATAGTTGATGACTACTATTTTGTCATAGAAACCACCACTAAATGCAGTTTGGAAACACCACTTTGCTCCTCTTTTTGGTTTTCACTTTCACTGAATAAAAATACACATGGAATGTACTACATAGCTCTGTGTTTTTTCCCCACAGTATCCTTTTACAGTTACAGAAAATGAGATTGTTATGAACAAATCTGTATATCAGAAATACCTTCCCATAAATATTTTGCATCCATAGTGTAGGAACATTGGCAAGGCAGGAATAAGATTGAACTATGTCCAATTTCTCCCTTAAATCTTCTTGTAAAACCAGTATATGGCCTGAATTAAGGACTGGAAAAGTATGTTGTATTTTTGAGGCAGTCTGTATTCCCATCTTCAACATCCATGGAATACTCCATAAATCTGAGTCTGACTTTTAAGGCAAGTATGTCACTCAAATGTCCATACTTCTACATCCTGTACAACAAAGTCTTCTTTTTTGGATAAGATATCATTATTGAATGTGCTGCAGCAATTACTCCGACCATGGTACAAATCAGCATCTAGCCATAATCCAAACTTGCCACTGAAAGGAGAAGAAAATTAACTGAAATTGCTAGGAAATTTAAAAATATTGTTCAAAACCCACCAAGAAAAATACATTTTTCCATTCATTTTAACTACTTGTTTAAATGAGCACTTCATTTTCATGATGGAAATAAATAGGATTAAATTTTTGGACTAATTTTCATTAAATTTTAGAAACGGATATTGATAACATTTTAGAAAGGAATTATGTGAACATTCAAACAATAGTCTTTATTTGCATATGTGGAAACATCACAGTAGGCTGAATGTTCTGCATATATGGTCCTGATTTTCATATGGTTATGATTTTAACAAGACGGAACAATTGCATTTCATTCCTTCATTTACTGATCTGGGTTCTCTGAAATACAGTAACCTTTCTTCTTTTTGCACATGATGCAATAGAGCTACATGTGCGTGGATATAAAACCATGTAGGCAGCCAGTGATTTACACACTGCATTCCGATGGCTGAAGAGACAAAAACTGTTTTACAAGTGATTAGCAGTAATACTAGCGTCTTCATAAATGTAAGAGATCACACACCCATAGTTCTCACCTATACAATGAATCAGTACACCAAGAGAAATTTAAATAACTTACTCTCCACCACCAAGTTCTAATGAAGCCACATCTCCATTGATGAAGTAGGTGTTTTCTCCACTCCACTTGAAAACCTTAAGTAGGCAGGAAATAATGTAAGAAGAAAGATACAATCATATAGTAGTTATTTACTTGCAACTGTGTTGTGAATGATGCAGTCAAGTTGTTAGGAGGATGGTGGGGTGGAAGGCAGCTAAAATTGCATGTTTGATAGTAAAATTAATCATCTGTACCTACAATGTAAATAATTACTACTGAACTCGATGCTTCTGAGTAGATACGAGTAGGATTTAATTGGTACCCACTTGCATTTGATGGAGATCAATTCACAGAGGAAAAAAGAAGACAGAGACACAATATATGTATGGTTTGTAATGTGTTTCAAGAAAAGTTTATCAAGGGAATGTTTGATTTATCTATTTTATTTATTTATTTATTTACAAGATTTTTAGCTGTGCCATTACCAATGGTCTCTGAGCGGCAATGCTTTTTGCTAAAAAGTGCTTAAAGGAACTGTGATCTGAATGCAGAGCTTCCAAGAACTATCTTCTTGTTTTGTTCTTTAATTTTTTTCAGTTACTGCTACTGATCCCTACTATTTGTGTTTCCGTTCTTCCTCCAATGCAGCGTTACCGTATACGTCATTCTTCTGGGTTTGTGACATATTATAATTATTTTTACTTAATTAATTTGGCAACTCAGCTACACAGCAAGGGAAATGTTTTTCACTCTTATTCTCTCATTGTGAAGTTGCATCCAGTATAAGTGACCACACAGGTTTTTTTAGGAAAAGTTTTTGTATTGCAGTTCTATCTGAAGCGCCTTGTAGGCGGCACAGTTCAAAGGAAGTGCCTTAAAAGGACTTTTCTTATCTCTGTTTATTCATTTCCTCCTCTTGCCTTGCCAAAAAAAGAAACAAACAGGAGCTCTGCCTACAACATAGGTATTTCTTTTACAAAATTAAAAAAAATCACAACAAAATATAAAAAAACCCTTAAGAAAATGAACCATACATCACTATTGCACTGAAGACATCTACTTCAATACATCTTTCCAGAAAATTCTGAAATTTGAAATGTTAAAAGGAAAAACATGCCTATCACATTTCAGAAAAAAATTACTATACAAATAATAAATACATTATTTAAAAAATGTTCCTTTTAAGTGCTGTATAGTTGATGACTACTATTTTGTCATAGAAACCACCACTAAATGCAGTTTGGAAACACCACTTTGCTCCTCTTTTTGGTTTTCACTTTCACTGAATAAAAATACACATGGAATGTACTACATAGCTCTGTGTTTTTTCCCCACAGTATCCTTTTACAGTTACAGAAAATGAGATTGTTATGAACAAATCTGTATATCAGAAATACCTTCCCATAAATATTTTGCATCCATAGTGTAGGAACATTGGCAAGGCAGGAATAAGATTGAACTATGTCCAATTTCTCCCTTAAATCTTCTTGTAAAACCAGTATATGGCCTGAATTAAGGACTGGAAAAGTATGTTGTATTTTTGAGGCAGTCTGTATTCCCATCTTCAACATCCATGGAATACTCCATAAATCTGAGTCTGACTTTTAAGGCAAGTATGTCACTCAAATGTCCATACTTCTACATCCTGTACAACAAAGTCTTCTTTTTTGGATAAGATATCATTATTGAATGTGCTGCAGCAATTACTCCGACCATGGTACAAATCAGCATCTAGCCATAATCCAAACTTGCCACTGAAAGGAGAAGAAAATTAACTGAAATTGCTAGGAAATTTAAAAATATTGTTCAAAACCCACCAAGAAAAATACATTTTTCCATTCATTTTAACTACTTGTTTAAATGAGCACTTCATTTTCATGATGGAAATAAATAGGATTAAATTTTTGGACTAATTTTCATTAAATTTTAGAAACGGATATTGATAACATTTTAGAAAGGAATTATGTGAACATTCAAACAATAGTCTTTATTTGCATATGTGGAAACATCACAGTAGGCTGAATGTTCTGCATATATGGTCATGATTTTCATATGGTTATGATTTTAACAAGACGGAACAATTGCATTTCATTCCTTCATTTACTGATCTGGGTTCTCTGAAATAACCTTTCTTCTTTTTGCACATGATGCAATAGAGCTACATGTGCGTGGATATAAAACCATGTAGGCAGCCAGTGATTTACACACTGCATTCCGATGGCTGAAGAGACAAAAACTGTTTTACAAGTGATTAGCAGTAATACTAGCGTCTTCATAAATGTAAGAGATCACACACCCATAGTTCTCACCTATACAATGAATCAGTACACCAAGAGAAATTTAAATAACTTACTCTCCACCACCAAGTTCTAATGAAGCCACATCTCCATTGATGAAGTAGGTGTTTTCTCCACTCCACTTGAAAACCTTAAGTAGGCAGGAAATAATGTAAGAAGAAAGATACAATCATATAGTAGTTATTTACTTGCAACTGTGTTGTGAATGATGCAGTCAAGTTGTTAGGAGGATGGTGGGGTGGAAGGCAGCTAAAATTGCATGTTTGATAGTAAAATTAATCATCTGTACCTACAATGTAAATAATTACTACTGAACTCGATGCTTCTGAGTAGATACGAGTAGGATTTAATTGGTACCCACTTGCATTTGATGGAGATCAATTCACAGAGCAAAAAAGAAGACAGAGACACAATATATGTATGGTTTGTAATGTGTTTCAAGAAAAGTTTATCAAGGGAATGTTTGATTTATCTATTTTATTTATTTATTTATTTACAAGATTTTTAGCTGTGCCATTACCAATGGTCTCTGAGCGGCAATGCTTTTTGCTAAAAAGTGCTTAAAGGAACTGTGATCTGAATGCAGAGCTTCCAAGAACTATCTTCTTGTTTTGTTCTTTAATTTTTTTCAGTTACTGCTACTGATCCCTACTATTTGTGTTTCCGTTCTTGCTCCAGTGCAGCGTTACCATATACGTCATTCTTCTGGTTTTGTGACATATTATTATTATTATTACTTAATTAATTTGGCAACTCAGCTACACAGCAAGGGAAATGTTTTTCACTCTTATTCTCTCATTGTGAAGTTGCATCCAGTATAAGTGACCACACAGGTTTTTTTAGGAAAAGTTTTTGTATTGCAGTTCTATCTGAAGCGCCTTGTAGGCGGCACAGTTCAAAGGAAGTGCCTTAAAAGGACTTTTCTTATCTCTGTTTATTCATTTCCTCCTCTTGCCTTGCCAAAAAAAGAAACAAACAGGAGCTCTGCCTACCCAGGATAAGCTGTTTTTTTAAAAAAAAGTGTCTTGGGAGAGAGCCGAGTACTGGCACTGCTGTGTGTATGTGTGTGCACAAGCGTGTTCAGCTGGTCCTTCTTTTCCTAATCAGTTCAAAAGAGATCACAGTCTTTGAACCAAAGTGAAATAATTCAATTTTTCAACAAGAGGAAAAATTACAAATTGGAGGTGTGGGACTCTGGGCTGATTTCCATTTGCCTTTGCATCATGTGGCCAATAGGAAAAAAAAGATGAATCAGCCCACCCCAAATCCATTGTATTTCTGACATTTTCTTATGTAGCCAGGCTCAAAGATTTCAAAGCTTACACATTGCAGCTGTTGCTATTCTTCTGACAATTACCATAAAACCATAAAACACCGGCTGAACCACACATTTAGAGACGATTTGTACAATTTTCTGTAAGAACCATGGACACATTTAATCTTATAGTAATTATTTTATTGATCATAATTTTATAGGTTAAAACCTGCATAAGTCAAAGTCCTGGTTCTAACCTATAAAGCTCTAAATGGCTTGGGTCCAAGCAATCTCAAGGACTGTGTCTCACTATGAGCCAGTCCAGGCATTAAGATCATCATAAGTGGGTTTGGGTGGGGACACAGGAAAGGGCCTTCTCTGTTCCTGCTCCCAGACTTTAGAATTCCCTCCCACAGAAGGCCAGGCTGTCCTTCCACATCTGTATTTGTACTTGTTTGATCCTTTTTAGTTTTTTTATACATCCTATTTTTACTTTTAAATATTGTCTTTAATAATGTAATCCACCTTGGGTCCTTGTTAAGGAGAAAGGTGGGGTAAAATATTTAAAAATAATGAATAAATAAATCTGATTATTTTTTTCATAAGCTCGAACTGTCTCATGCAGGACTGTCGGGAAATATCCCATGTTGGTTCTGACAAGGTTCAAGCATGTTGATCTATACCGGGGTGTCCAACCTTTCACCTTGCCTAGGCCACATTAGAAGATGAAAATTTGGTTTGGGCCGCACATACATTTGGTTTGGGCCGCATGGGGGGGCAGCCCTAGCCATCCTCCGCAGCCCCGCTCCAAGTGCGCTTACCGGCAGCTGCAATCTCAGACAGCAGAGGCTGCCAGCTTCGACTCCGGTGGCTTTATGGGGCTGGGAGGGGGTACACCTATTGACGGTGACGGCGCAATGCTGTCACACAGCCCTTCTGTCCCCCCCCTCCCACTCCTTCCTTCCTTCCCTCTCTCCCCCTTTACTGTTGTGACATGCCCCGGCCACATTCCAGCCATAAGCGCCGGCAGTGTAACTTGAAACTTTGGAATTTCTTTAAAAATAAAAAATTGCACTGGGCCGCATTACGAGTTGGCCTGGGCCGCATGCAGCTCTCGGGCCGCGGGTTGGACAAGCCTCTCACCAACCATCAATATCTAAGGCCATTATTTTGTTCCTCTGAATAATAAATATATCAAGAAGACATATGGCAGTGACAAATGCAGATTCAAATTCCAAACTCTTGGTAAATTAATCTTTAAATCTGAGTTTTATGACTGAGTAATTATGAGAGAAATGAACATACCGTGAAGTTATGGATTAAGACCATACTCAGAAGACCATACCTTGAAAAGAGGATTAAATGTGTACAGGAATGTTTCTCCAGTCCCATAATAGTGGTCACTAAACTTGAAGGGATGCGTTGCATAAGCTCCAAATATCTGTCAGAACAAAGTGGCTGTTATGACACTTCCAAATTTAAAGGCACACTTTTTAAAAGAACACGTAAAACACTAGAATTCTTATTTACAGCACTTGGTAAACACAAGCTGCTGAAACTCCTTCTAGCCCATATATTATACAAACATAAAACGTTACATAAAGCACTACATTCTATATATAATATAGCCACAGCCGAGATGGATGTGCAGACTTGGTTTTCAATTATTAAGTTTGAGAATCTGCTCTTCTCATGATTCCTCATCCAGCACTAACATACAGAAACAAGGACAAGATACAGAAGGGTTCCACCACACCTCTTCGGATTATCCCATATATAGATGTCATGTCTCTTGTCACAGAGACATTACCAGTACTCCCTGGTAATACCAGTTTTCCCTGCAGCTGGGTACAATGCAAGATGGAAGAGCTGCAGCAAGAATAAGCTGTGCTTACTATACTAAGAGAACCATATCATCGTATGCAAACCCCCACAAGAGCTGAGATCAGCAGGGGAGTGCCTTCTCTCAGTCCCTCCACCTTCACAAACCCGTTCGTTGAGGGCTCGTGAGAGGGTTTTTTGGGGGGGCAGGGGCTGTTCCCAAAACAATAGAACTGTGTTCTTGAGGAGGTGTGGCTGGCGTCTTGCCTCCTTTGCACTGAAAATGGATGTTTAGGCAGGCCTTCCCATCAGACTCTTGCCTCCTTTGCACTGAAAATGTGTATCTTTACAGAGCTTTTTGGAGAGTATGTAGGCAACTGAGATGGAGAGGTACAGTGAGCTTTGAAAATTGGTTTTATAGTTCTATATAATGTTTTTATATTTGTATTTTACAGTTTTCATATGTTAATTACCATGTTTTTAATTATGTAAATATCCTCCATGCGGATATTGGATATTTGCCAATCAATGTGACAAACCCAGACCTACTGGGATCTATCACACAGTTACTAAGCTGCCACCAACCATTCCCTATAATAAGTCACACAGACCAGGGATGGATTTTTAAACAACAAAAGAATAAGGTTTATTTTAAATACAAACAGGGTAAATAAAACAATCAGGTGAATAAAATAAAGTAACGTGGCTTATTCTCACACACACAAGCATACAGTTTGGTTCACCTAGAACCTTTAACTTAAAGCACAGACCCTGAACCCATCAGTTCTGGCTAACCAACAGACCCCTGAACCTTTCAGGTTGGTACTCTGACACACAGTAGTACCCTGTCAGACACCCAGACTCCCACAACAGCTTCTTCTTCCCCAGCTGCTGCTTCGTCCCACCCAGTGTCTCACAGTCTGTCTCAGCATCTCCCTCTTCACCACACAGGCATCACATATTTATACAGTACAGCCCCTCCTCCTGATGTCCCGCCTTCCACTCCCCATAGGATGGAACTTTGGGATGCACTGTGCAGACATAAGGGTCAGAGTCAAAGCTTCTTTTGCAACTCAACCTTAATAACTAAATCAACAAGTAACTACAAACTACTCTAATTCTACAAATCTTCCTTTAGTCCACCCCAGCCAGTCCACTCATGTCCTTGAGTCCTTGGATCCAGATATGGGGATTGATTACCACCTCCTCCCCTATGCAGGCCTCTGAAGGCTTAAACTTGTCCCTACCTATGTCTGTGTCACTGTAGGAAATGGTCATGCACTGGATGGCCCATATTACAGCTTCAAATGGCCTGAGGGAGTTGGGTTCTCCATGCCTCCTCCAACCTTGTAGGGTGAGTAGTTGAGGTAGGCTCTGTGGGTGGCTAATGCCACTTTCTTTGAGTGGTAGTGTCCTCTGGAGAACTACAACTCAGAGCTTGACAACTGCACCTCATCCACTCTGCTCTGGAGTGGATCAGGACAAACAGACTGAGGTTGAATCCAAACAAGACAGAAATTGTGCGTGTGACAGCTCTGGCGTCAGTGAGTTGGGAAACTCCGGAAATTGTGCGTGTGGCAGCTCTGGCGTCAGTGAGTTGGGAAACTCCTTTGGGGGAATGACTCTTCTTACGAAGAGTGAGGTATGCATCTGCCTAGACACGGATCTCACCATGGAAACCCAGGTGGCATATGAGGTACGCAGCTTGGGCATCTGCCTAGACCCGGATCTCACCATAGAAACCCAGGTGGCATCTGTGGTCCGGGCAGCCCATTTCCATCTTTTTAAGGATTGCCCAGCTGCGTCCCTATCTATACGCGGGGGCACTCACGATGCTGATTCATGCCCTCATAATCTCAAGAACAGACTACTGCAATGCTCTCTGCGTGGAGCTATGCTTGAGGCTGATGCGGATACTTCAACTGGTCCAGAATTTGGCGGCCAGGGATACTTCAAATCGTCCAGAATTTGGCAGCCAGATTAATAACTGGGGTGAAGAAATTCCAGCACATCTCCCCCACTCTGGCCGCCCTTCATTGGCTACCGGTTCATTTCCGCATCGACTTCAAGGTTATGATGATAACATTCAAAGCCCTAAATGGGTTAGGACCTCGGTACCTATCAGGACACCTGCTCCCAGCCAGATCTATCCGTAATACCCATTCTTCACAGGCAGTGCGTTTGAGCGCCTTGACCCTGAAGGAGGCACGGAGGGAAAGAACAAGAGACCGGGCCTTCTCGGTGGTTTCCCCCCACCTATGGAACTACCTGCCTATTGAGGTCTGCCTAGCACCCTCGCTGGATGAGTTCAAATGAGCAATGAAGACCTGAGTCTTCCACCAGGCTTTCCCTGAGCATTAAGATCTTGGCCTCCCTTTTACCATCCTTTTTGCCATCCTCGCCATCACCCTTTTTACCACCTTTACTGCCATCTGTTTTAATTTCCCTATAGGTTATGTATTAATTTATTTTTATCGTTTTTTTTAATATTACGCCTTATATTGTTGTTAGCCACCGAGAGTGGCTTGGTTGCCAGATGATGCGGGATATAAATTCAATAAATTAATAAATTAATTAATTAATATCTTTGGCTGGCTTAGGCGGGTGCCACTCCAGCACTTCCATCCAAGGCTCCACTTCTTCCTCTTCTGACTCTTTCTCCCGTTCTCCTCCAGAACCTGCCTCCAGTCCTCGCCCTCACCACCTCTTCTCTTCCTTTTATAACTTCAGGGTTTCCCTCCTCTCTTCTAAACTCTTCAGATCCTGACTCTTCCCCCCGGATCTTGTCTTTTCCAAAAGGTTCCCTTACTTTTGGACCCTCCTGGCAATTCCCTCCTGCCACCTTCTCTTCTTCCACTGGCAATTCTGGTGTGGTTGTCAGCTTCATAGGGGTTGGGAAGACCACCTTTCAGGGACAGAGTGGCACAGTGGAAATCAACTGAGGAATGATTGGGATGAAAGGAATGAGAGGCAGCCTGACACTGGGAACCTCTGAAACTCCCTCACAAATTATGGAATTTGAAATATTTTCCTGCAAGCTGCCTTGGGCTCATCCCATCACACGCCGCTCCTGAAAGGAGAGAAATGTTCGACAGAATATAAACTGACTGACTGGTTTTTTAAAAAAAACAAACAATAAAAACTGGATTGCATTGTGATACATATTCTCATTTCAGATCATATAAATGTTCCGCATTTTACAATGTTGTTTTTACTACATAAAAAAGTCTAGGTTAGATTGAAAACAACAACGAAAAAAGGCTCTCTCTGTCATCTTCTTATAGATCTGCACACAGACACAAACACACAACCCTGTGTGTCTAACCTGATTATCCATGTCTTTGATGACAAGTAGGACTGGACTATCCAGAGATGCTGATCTACGATACAGGGTTTTCAAGCTGGTTCCATGTTCTTGTGTGCTATACACAAGCCTCCAGGGATATCCCTGAACTCTTGCAGGCAGGCACCGGGCAAGCTAGAAGATGAGACAAATCTGTATAGTTTAAAATGTAATACATTACTCACAGCAGATGTGTCACTAGAAGTTGATTTTGCCTGGTACAAGGATTAAGCAATTTTACCAATAGTCTGAGCTATTGTTTTGTATAATAAAATAACAGTTTTCCACTTAAAGACATATGACAAATGCAATCTAAATAGCACACAACATTGTTATTTATCATTTATGCATCCACAACACAAAAGTTGTTAGGGGAGGGAGAGGGAACCCAAACTTCCAGGTAGAGCTATTAGTCTAACCCCTTGAGAATGGAATGGAGCAGAGGGCCCACACCTAAGATTCCAGTCAGGACCGGAGAAGGCTCCACAGACATACAGTATGTCCACCTCCAACAGTGGTCTGTGGACAGAAAACATGAATAGGTCACAAAATGGGTCATTCAGGAATTAGGACCAGATGCAAGGTCCTGACCCAGGAAGGCCTCTGAAGAGAATAGTTCCAGTGTAGGCAAGATGCTGGTGTAACTAACCCACTGGAGATAATGGAAGGAAAAGAAGAGAGGTGAAAAACACATCTAACAAGAAAGAAGATCCACCCATGCCTTGGCTAACGCAAGTTGATAAGGTTTGGAAATAGTGGAAAACCTGCCACTTTACACACATACCCCAATTCCACATAGGATTACACTGTGACATGATTCTTCAAAGTTAGATGATTCTTACAATGAGCGGTCTAAACAGAGACAGGTTAGAGAGGGAAGAAGGTGGTGATCTCTCAGCAAAGCCAAATGGAATTAATTGCTATTACCAAATGGCTTTGTGTTCTCCACTTCCTGGTCTTCTTTCTACTAGGTTTCCAACACAAACATACGATAGTTAAAAGCAGCCTGAACACAGTCTTACAATGTGACTCTTGATACTCTGTCCCAGAAGGTGAAATTTCAAATATTGCCATGTGTCATATGCTGTTACTCTCCAATCACTGAAAAGCTGTTCCAGATGGTCAAAGGATCTCTTTTTTTAAATAGTAAATCAGACAAAAAGAAGAAGAAAACCCAAATGACAGAAATGTTGGGGCACCTCACATTTTAATGTTAGCATTTGTGGATCAAGTAGAATTCTTCAGATATTAATGTGAGACTATATGATTTTATTTGAATAGGCATATCATGCTGCATGAAGGCAGGGACAAAAAAGGTGATGAGGGGGAGAAATTGGGAAATATTCAGTTCAAATAAGAGTCCCTTCATTTTGAATCTGTTCCCGTGTATGCCACCAAGTGGTAAAGTATGGATTCTAATTGAATAAAGCCAGTTGAAACCAAGGATATTTACAGGACTGGAAAACCAACTATACCTGCTCAACATGCATATTTTCTAAGAGTGCACTCTGGTTTTTCAAAACAGGCAAAGCATCATCCTCATCCTCATCCTCCCCACCATCGTCTTCTTCACAGTAGCTGCAAATGCTCTTTCGGCGTTTTGCTTCTTCCACAGTAATGATCTAAATGCAAGAGAGAGACATTTGCCAAACATTTTTGCAGAACAGAAAAAGTCTCTGAACACAGCTGAGTTATATCCAGTGCTGTACTAGCAGGAAAAGCACAAGAGGCTTGTGCACTGTTTTGCTAATACTTTTGTATCCTGTGAGTGGAGATGAGCATGAACCTCAGTTTGTAGGTTCGTGGTGGTTCATACAAACAGCATCTGTTCCCTTGCTGCACTTCCCCGACCAATGACCCACTCACCAGGTCAGAGCACTCCCCTCCCCTCCCCCTCTTCAGCTACTTGACAACTCCCCAGTAGGACCACAGGTTTGCCTGTCCTACCCTGAGTGGGCCATCAGCCAAGGAGGCGGGGCACAGAAGCCCATGTTCCTGCTGGAAACTGGCTGAACAGCGGAAAAGAAGGGCAAACCAGCTGGTGAGTGGAGGACCCAGCCAAGGAGACAGGAGAAGGGAACATATGCCGCCTGTGGTGCCACAGATACAAACTGACGCAAACCTCTGAACCAAGGTTGTACCCATCTCTACCTGTAAATAGTGCACATGCTTGAGCACATAGGTCCCCAGATTTTGGTGCCAGTGGACACATTTGTAATTCTGAGAAACTACAAGGAGTGTTCTCTTTTTTTCCCCAGTTGTACTTCTCATCCAACTTCACTTTCCCTCACATGCCACATAATTCAAATGCCCAACATCCTAGCAACCCTGTGTAAGCACACGGAATGCACATGTACAATTGCAGTTTTATGGCAAACATGGAGAAAGCTGGAGACTTCCTTAATAATTGCACCAAAGCCCTCTTGCCTAAAAAGGGCTAATTTTCCTCCTTTTTCACAATCTACCTTCTCACCCCTATTTCCTCTCCTCCCTCTCCCTGGATCTTTATTTCTCTTTCACACATACACCTTGCCAACAAATCCATTCATTCAGACAACCAAATGCCCGTTTACCCATCAAACACACCTCATTGATCTATATATTTATCAAACAATATCCATATATCCATCAAACAAGCATGCACATCACCTCCCTGGAAAATTCCTGTCCACCCCATGTAAACCTGTCCATTTCACTTTCTTTCTCCTTGGGTTGCCCTCCCATTTTGCCCAATTCACTTTGGGCTACTCTGCAACTATTCTCAGCAGTCCCCATATCACCTACAGCCTTACTCCAAGAATACCAGGCAAATTTTGTTTCTCTCCCTCTCTTTTTGATAAGCTTTATCCAGTGGCCTGGCCACTATGGTACAAGGTGATGCTCCTGGCTCGCCCACCATCATTGTTTCCTGAGATCATTCTTTTAAATATACTGTTTAGTGTTATGAGCTGCCTTGGGTCCTCTTGAGGAGAAAGGCAGGGTATAACCATTTTAAATAAATAAATAAATAATAAGAAGTCCACATCAGGCTCAGAAGGATTCTCAGGAAAGGTAATGACAGTGGTACCTGTCAGTAAACCAAGTGCAGCTGTTCTAGGTAATACAAATAATTGGGGGGAGGCAGGGAAGAAGGGAACGACAGAGGACAAGATGGTTGGACAGTGTCGTTGAAGCTACCAACATGAATTTGACCCAACTCTGGGAGGCAGTGGAAGACAGGAGGGCCTGGTGTGCTCTGGTCCATGGGGTCACGAAGAGTTGGACAGGACTTAACGACTAAACAACATTATTATAATTTTTTTAAATGAGGGAGCAGTTAGCATTGAGTAAACAGCGGAGGAGGAGTCTGTGGGCAGGATGGTCCGCGGACTTCTCCCTTACTGTTGGGCACCTAAATACTAGCAGACCAATTAACACAACTGGTGTTAGTTACAGCCACCTAGTATAATGGAGACAGGATGAGTAATAAAAGCACTTGTGTAATTGTTTGTAGAACATCTTGCATAATAGAACTCAAGCAGTGGATTTGATACTTAAGCAAGATAAAAACTGAGTTTTCACAAATGTTCAAGGCTTTTATGCTGAACCACACCCTTGGATATAAACTAGGTATTTATACCTTGTTTTCAGATATCTAGCAACAACAAAAAATGTGTGCTGCTTATTTACCGCTGTATACAAGTTAATTATGCAGGATACAAATTACCCCCCCCCCAGCAAGCTGGGTACTCATTTTACTGACCTCAGAAGGACAGAAGGCTGAGTTAACCTTCAGCCAACTAACTGGAATTGAACCCCAGGTGGTGAGCACAGTTTTGGCCACTGCACCACGAGGCTCATTCCTGATGTTTTTATGTGTTTTTTTTTAACAACCTATAATATGATTGAAGCAAAGCACACTGAAAATAAGAAAAGCTACAGGGACGTGAAATAAAGCACAGGTAATAAAGGCATAGTGTTATTTATTCTTACCCGGAACAAATTTACTTGAGTAGGAAAGCAGAATATATTTATGCTGGGAGGGGAAGAGAATAAACATTATTTTAGCATCAGGAAGCATTTTGAGTCCTCTTTTTAGAATCATCAGGGGGCACATCACCTTTCCAGCTCCAAGGGTTATATCTGATGCAGGGGCAGGGGCACATGAGCACATACATTGTAGAAATTATCTTGAGAAGGGAGTGGAAAGTCTTTTCTCCACCTCTTCTGACAATGAGCAATCAATCAATCGCCTCTTATAAGGGTCACTGACAGACAAAATGAAGAATTTCAGCAACCCTGAAACAGATTGCACATTCTTTACAAGGGAAAAGTGATGTGTATGGAATCAGTTGGCAACGGTTGGCTACAGTGGGACACAGTGCTTAAGCCCTTGTTGGCTGCAAGCTGTGTAACCCTGTGGTAAATAATGTTACAAACAGTTCCTAGAAGAGGGGAAACAAGAGCTATCAAAATCCTGACTAGATCACATTCCAAAACTAGCAACAACTGCAACTGGAGAAGTCTGACTTTTTTTTATATAAATAGGTAGGATTGGACCATTTATTGAGAAGTCTGGCTGTGGAGCCAGAGGTTGCGAGTTTAACTCCTCACTGCGCCTTCTGGAAGAAGAACGAGCCCTAGAAAACCCTAGAAAGGGTTGTCGTAAATCAGAATCGAATTATGCATTTCCTATTTTCATAGATATAGTATTGTATCTATATGGCAGAACCTCTGATAGTGTATTTACAGCACTCTAGGGGCACCATCCTAACCAGCCAGGATAGCTCCAAACCTTTCTTTGTGGTGGCACAATGGCTATCAGTTTGGGTTTGGACTGCGCTGTACTTTAGTTCAGAGTGGATAAAAATTAATGCTTTTTAAAAAAATCAAATGGATTTAAACCACGATTTAAATTTTAAAAAATCATTTTTTAATTTAAATAGTTTTTAAAAATCAGTTTTTTATAAAATTTAAATAATTATTTCACAAAAATGTTTGTGCTAATTATTTTAAAAATGTCTGAAAAACTGTGAAATAATAGGATTCTATACAACTAGAATTTTGTGTGTGTTTATGTCTATCTCTCTGTGTGTGTATATGTGTGTGTATGTGTGTGTGTGTAATTAACATCATGCAAACGTAAATCGATATGAATGATATTCAAGAGGCTATATGTTCTGTATGAGTTCTTCCCAGGAAACCAGCAGTAGACTTATGTCCATACAAAGCAAGTCAGGTCACAATCTAAACTTAATCACAATTACATTAACTTCAATACACAATTAAGTGCAAGCTTAATCTTGCTCAAATAGAAAGATTTAAAATACTTAACTTTGGGTAGGAGTGTACTCTTGGTTTTTAAAATGCGTTTTTTCAGAAAAGAGAGGGGAGGTCACAGGAAAGTCTATTCCTAAGTATTCCAATGGGAACTTAACCAAGGAGCACTTTCTCAGCTTTGCTTTGAGACAAGATACGAAGATGAAACTCAAGCAGTGAAGACAGGGGGAGGCCTGATCTATTCTTTTCTTAAAGACATATCTATCTATCATTTAATTACAGTCAAATGTAGAGCTTGGAAAACTCACTTGTTAAAATGGTAGCTCAAATCCCACAGCCAACCAGCAACTGTGCTGGCTTGGGGATTCTGATAATTTTTTTTTAAAAAGCAACTTTTTCAAACTGCTATCCATCAATTGGTAGGCTAGAACTGAGGATTTCCAGGCAGGTGGGGGGAAACACCTCAGAACAATTTTGATGTTAACCTGTAAAACCCATTCAACTGGGAGCACTTGCTTAAGGTAACGCTTGTGATGTTTTGCTAACATGTGGTCTGATGAAATGTTCTGTAAGAATCTTGTTTGCAGAGTATTTTTTGAGATATTATTGAGGCTTAATGGGTAAATTCCATGTTATTGGAAATCCAAATCTCACACACACACACATACTACATTACTGTATTTTTTACATTCCAAAAGAAAAGTTCACAATGAACATAGGCAATAGCTGGGCTATGATAAAGTCCTCTTATCTGAAGTATTTTGTGTTATGTTTCTCTTATGCTGCAGTCTTCCAGGTTTTTTAAAAAAATATTATTTAATTTTTTTCTATCTCATTTGTAAACAGAGAATCATTTGGAGGATTCATTGTTTTGTTCTGTATCTGGTGGGGAGAGCTATAGGGCACTGTGATGGATATGACTGATTGAATCTACTGTATATCCTGCCCCTCTAATGCTAGAAACAATCTGGTTTAGATAAATAATGAAATAAATTAAGAGTGAAAGCAGGAAATGCAATGAACAACAAAATAAAAACAACCAACTGAAAAGCAGGAGGTAAATCATTAGAGAGCCATCATGTTTCACATTCTGAATTACATTTTAGCACCTGTTTTTCGAGGACCAAAAAGACATATTCTAAAACAACAGTGTGATCTAGCACCTGTTTTTCGAGGACCAAAAAGAAAAGACATATTCTAAAACAACAGTGTGATATTTAACTATCCAAAATGTTGCATCTGCCGGGGAAATGATGTGCAATTTATTTTAATTACAACTAACCCTCCAGCATAGTCTGGACTACTGAACAGATTCCTCAAATTCAATTATTCCAATAAAATAATTTTCTCATTATGTTTGCCATTCTGTAGATCAGTGGCTCCCAACGTTGGGTAATGCAGGTGTTCTCAGACTGCAACTCCCAGAAATTCCAGCCAGAACATCTAACACTGAAAGCTTTTGGGAACTGCAGTTCAAGAACTCCTGGGTTACCCAAGGTCATGAACCACTACGGTAGATCCTCCACGTGTCTTGTAAATAGACTGTTTTGTTCTGCATTAATAACTGACAACCCACAGGGCAGAAAAGGGAAATAGATTTCTAAAACTTCTACATACACATACCTGTACAAAAGGTTCCTGCTCCTGGTCATTCCTGGCATGGTATATGATCTGAAAGGTCAAAGCTGCCTGCTTTACTCTCATTCTTAAGGAGTCTGCCTTCCCAACTCCACGCTTCTTCCACTCTCACTGACAATTCAGTTTCCTCGGCACAAATAATACTGCTCTCTCTAGAGAAGGAGTGGCTTTTCTACTTCCTTGTAGCAATCACTTTCGTTTTCTTCTACTATTTGATTAAGCCTGGCCTGGCAACACTCACTTTCAGCACAAAAGAACTCCCTTGGAAATGCAGTGAGAGACTACAGTAATGGCTCCAGGCAGCTCTGAGTCTGCAAACTGGGCTGGGTGGCATAAACCAGTTTGATACACCCGTTATATAGGAATTAACACCCACTTCCAGGCACCTGTGTAGAAGTGAAGCAGGATGGCTGACTCAATGCTCATTCCAAAAAATCTGGAAGTAGTGAACTGGCATCCTACCTTAATTTCCATGACCACCTGCCTGTATTCAGTCTCTACAAAGCCATCTACAAAACCAACTAATAGGATATTTCTAACGGGCACTTCTTAAAGAGCCACATGCCTTATAAAAAGTTGCAGTACTCTGTCCTGATCCCCCTTGTCTTCTGCCATTAGCACCCACAATTGGAAGATCCAAATTTTAATTACCCGGCGGTCATTCTGAAACCGCCGAACAGCGGTTAGAAAAACATCGTTTTGTGAAGAATCGGTTCCCGAAGCACAGAACCGATCATTGCAAAGCGAAATTCCCCCATTTAGACCATTGTTTTGTGATCGCAATTGCGATCCCAAAAAAATCTTTGTAAAGCGGATTCGTCGTAATGCGGGGCAATCGTAAAGCGAGGCACCACTGTATTTGCACAATAATTTCCAGGATCTCACATCTAGCATGACTACTGGGAGCTAATAAGAATTTTACTTGTATCAGAGAACTGATTAACATGATTTGGGGTTTTTTTTAGGAAGACAAAATTGTGCTACACTAGTTTGGCCTGAATAGCCCCATATTGTGGTGGTTCGGAATTTCAGGATTTTTTTCTAGTTACTAAGGAACGCACATGGGACTTTCTGAAGGTGAACCATGTGCTCTATCATCAAGCTACAACCCTCCTTATTTGTCCACTAATTCAGAATTAACTATTCCCGCCAGCAGTTGCTCTCTAGGGTCTCTAGCAGAGGTCCTTCCCATCACTCTTCATAAAGGCCAGGGAAGGTCTGAACCTGTAATCTTCCAGCATTGAGGTGCAATATCTCTGGAACATGTCTATTACACAGGAAAATGAAGAAAATGCAGAGAAGCAGACTTGTAGCAACTTGCTGGCCAAAACCCCGCTTGTGTGCTCCGTGTTGCACAAACTGAATGAAATCATCATCTGACGCCAGTAACACTTAATTTAAACTGATTAAAGCTCTCCTTTTCCTCCCCATTCCCTTTCGGGTTGCAGAACTCTCCAGAACTTTTTTTTTCTTTATTTCTGAGTGGCACATTTAATTATTCCCTTCTCCCTTTGGTTATATTGACTTCAGTGGAAATTGAGGGTGCGCCAACACAGCAGGGAAATTCTGGTTTGATCTCCCGTATTTCTGCAGTTTAACAAATTCCTCTTTAGGTGAAGTGCTGTAGCTGTAGATGACAATCCGCAGGAGTTGGCAGGACAGAAGCAGAGAGGTCCATTTACACAAAGTTCATAAGAATGTAAGATCAGGCCAAGGGCCCATCTAGTCCAGCTTCCTGTATCCCACAGTGGCCTCACCAGATGGCCTCTGAGAGCACATGAGACAACTAGGTACCTGTCTCCTGATACCCTTCCCCTGCATCTGGCATTTGGAGGTACAGTGGTGCCCCACTTGACAACGATAATGCGTTCCAGCAAAATCTCTGTACAGCGAAATCGTCATCAAGCAGAAAAAAACCATTGAAATGCATTGAAGACCGGTCAATGCATTCCAATGGGGGAAATACCTGATTGTGCAGCAAAGATTCCCTTCTCCCTTTGGTTTTATTGGGCAGCCATTTTCCGCTCCCTGTCTTGTGAAATGAGGTCAGCAAAACAGCGGGGAGCCATTTTGAGAGCCGCCAATTAGCTGTTTTAAAATCGTCGTGAAGCAAAAAATTGGTTCCCAAAGCAGGGAACCAATCATCATAAAGCGAAAAAAATCCCATTTGAATCATCGTTTTGCGATCGCTATAGCGATTGCAAAAACATTGTCATCAAGCGATTTCATCGTCTACCTGGGTAATCGTCAAGCGGGGCACCACTGTACCTTCCTTAAAGTCTGGAGATTACACATCCCCATCATGGCTTGTAACTTGTGATGGACTTTTCCTAGCACACTGGGTAAAGAAATATTTTATTTTGTCTGTTTTCACTCTCCCAACACTCAATTTGAGTTGACGTCCCCTGGTTCTGGCATTGCATGAGAGGGAAAAGCGCTTCCCTCTATCCACTTTATCCATCCCCTGCATAATTTTATATGTCTCAATCATGTCCCCCTTCAGATGCCTTTTCTCTAAAGAGCCCCAAATGCTGCGTCCTTTCCTCATAAGGGAGGTGGCCCAGCCCAGTCATCATTTTAGTCTCTCTCTTCTGCACCTTCCAGCAGCAAAAGCTGCTTGAAGATGCTAACAAGGTGCTGACTGGCAATTTATACCTCTCTTTCTCTTTTTGCTTATTTAATTCTCCTGAATACTCTAACAAAACTCTGTTCCAGAACTGAATTGAAACTTTAAAAAAAAGACATTGTGTGGAGACTAGGGGTGCTCAATTGAGGAGAACTGACACCCTTGCGAGCATTCCTTTAAGTTTTGTCAGAACTGAGTTGACATTATCTGAGACTAAGGCAAGGCTCAGAAATGGTTTTATGTGCCACTGCCAGTAAATTACTATTTATCTCTGAGAAGCCCTATCTGTTTTCCTATCTTGACAGTGCCAAATATTTGCCTTATTTTAAAAACATCTTATGCTGCTTTCTATAGCCTCTGGCACTTCTCATTAACAACTAAACCATTCGAAGCATTCTCTAAAAAGGTGAATCTCTCCCATTATTGGGAACACAAAAGTCCATTCCTGTCACCATAAGCTAAAACAATACCAATCAGGGGAGTTCCTGACATACATCTGGACATGTGCCATGTGTGTAGAAAAATGCAGTCCCCTATAAAAATCCCCTGCAAAAATCCCCTACCTCAGCTCTATAACATGAGGTTACTTCTTTGCCCTTTTATTTGTTATTTTTAGTATTTTTGTATCACAAAGGAAATAACAAACTTAGATTGATATAGCTGTCATGGTAAGAAATGAAGCTTTTGTTGGCTGTACTGAAGAGAGTCTCAGCAGGGCCTTCCCTCCATGCACATACATGCACAGGATCACTGGCTCAGAGCTTAGGTATCTAAGATGGGTCCTACCCTGCCTTCAATGGGTAGCATTTCCAGGAAGATGTCTCTAGAGCCCTAGTTCTCAGGAATCAGAGGGCTGACTTGTAACAGCTTGAAACAAGAGCAGTAACACACGTTAATACCATCAAAAACAGTCCCAAAAGTAAGACATTAGTCCAGAATCTATAATATACAGTACCAGAGAATGACTCTCAACCCTCACACAACACCCTTTATAGGTTACATGAAGATCCAGTAGAAGCAGAAGCAGCTGGTTCTTCTGTCTTAAATACATGGATTTATTTCCATCCATATATCTATACATCACAGAGAACTTTAGAAAACTGTCCTTTTCCCCCTAGTGCCGTGCAAGACTTTAAACAGCCCAAATGTTTTACAATGAATGAAAAAAGGAGCCAGGGATCAGCAGAGGATGGAATCAAAGGAAGGAGGGCTGTGGGCTGTGGCACAGATCAAATGACATCAGACTGAGGGGTCTGTGTGAACACTGGCACCAAAGTGCTGCACATTTATTATCTAATCCAAACAGAAGAGTAAAACAGACTGCAAGTTAAGTTGCAGCAAAGCCAAATCGCTCTGATTTGGCTTGACAGTGTAGTCACAGCCTCTGGAATGGATTAATTCTTGATCTGAGTTACTTTCTGGTTCCAGAAGCATTTGTTTGTGAAATAAAATGTGCTTGTAACTGATACTGAATCCTGTGTTATGCATATCAATTGGGATTTTTTAAACTGGCAAATGCAGGAAGAACTTTATTTGAGATATATAATTAAACCTATGTTGTTTGGTATAGCACTCATTTTAAGCAGCATTCCCAAAAAGCAGAATTGTTTGAGAAAATGATATAAGAACTGGTAGTCAATCAGCAATGAATGATTGTAGGCAAGGTGCTTTTGAAGTGTTGTTTGTTTGTTTGTTTGTTTGTTTGTTTGTTTGTTTGGCTTATCCTAACACATTCTTTTTGTATCCCTGAAAACAATAAAGGTGCTTTAAAATAAACAATAAAGGTGCTTTAAAATAAACAGTCTTAGAGGCCAACAGGAGATTACAAAGAGCAGGCATGGAAAAGGGTCTCTGTTTCAAACCGATTCCAGCACTTCTGGATTTAAAAGCTAAATGCACTCACCTCCCAGCTTTTAGTTGAGGGTTCACTGAAGAAGTTGTCTATCATGTCAAGTTCCTCCTTTTCCACCACTACAAAGCCCTGGTCCTTAGCATCTTTGCCATACACATCAGGGGACCATTGTACAAAAAAGGTATACAGGTGATCTACCCTGAGAAACAAGACAAAAAGAAGGGCTGAGCATTCCAAGAGTACTGAATTGGAGAAGTCTGCAAAGTTTAATAAACTACTAACAGTGTTTGCCATCTTCTTCAAGGAGATTTTCTACACACTGTTGTTTGCTTTTGTCTGTACACCTGGTGACAGCTGAACCTTGTGCTTTCCCCCATTCCCACTTCACAGAAGTCAACAGCCAAACCAAGAAATATTGTCAATAAATTAAAGCTCCATTTCTCTAATCTCCAAATCTGGAAGCTAATATGGGGTGCAATACCAGGGTCTAAGGCTATCCCCATGTTCAAAGAAATGCCAGAGGGGGAAAAACAGTCCTTTTGTATTTACCCAATAATGAGCATATGTGCAAATAATATCTGAAATCTCCTGATCCCATTGCCATCTCCAGGTTGTCAATCCCACCATGACTTGTAACATTACATGAAAAATAAAGACAAGACAACTGCAATATAATCTTTTACTCTTCTTTCCTAACTTAGTACCAGTCATCATTTTTTAAAAAATGCTTTTTTACAATCTTATCTATTCTAAAAATGCAAGATTCTTTCTTAAACACCACCTCACCTCAAGAGGGCTCATTGGGAAAACCTGCACTGGAACTCCAGAACTGAAAAGGGGCAATCTTTGGCTTTTGTCACTGATTGGGGGAGCAGGGGCCACTGAGAAGTTAAATCCTTGCCTCCCAGGAAGAACATCGCAGCAAGAAGCTGACCTCTGTAGCCAGACGGGAATTAGCTGCATTGAGGTTGCTTCCCCATATCGTGATCTACACCTCCTTTAACTGCCAACTGCAATTAGAACTACAGAGCTGAGAGGCAGCTTAGAAAACCTTTTTGGATTACAACTTCCAGAATCCTCTCATCAGCATGGGAATTCTGGAGGGTATAGCCAACACTCTGAAGAGAAGCAGACTCTGGCTCCAGCTCTTAATCAGGGGACCAAAGGCTGCTAGATAATTTAGGTCTGGGGTTTACATTTAAGTGCATTATTGCTTTGTGACCACCTTGTGGATCATTAAATCCAAAGAGCAGAGACACTTAAAGAAATAACACTAACTCCTTGGCCAAAATTATTCTAGTTATACTCACAAGCATAATGCAAACCAATTACTTGCTTTGGAAGCAAACTGCATCAAGTCAAGACATGACTGTAGGCATTACCTGTTGTGTGACTAAGCATGCAACAAATAATTTCTTTGGAAATTTCTTAACTTGAGAAATTTGCCTCTGAATGTTGACCTATTACCCTGTTTCCCCCAAAATAAGACCTAACCTGAAAATAGTATGATTTTTCAGGATGCTCACAATATAAGCCCTACCCCCCAAATAAGCCCTAGTTAAATGAATTCCCACCCTCCACCATTGTGCAGCAACCAGAAGATGACATGACTGCATTTGAATAAATGTAGACTGTCGTACATGGAAAAAAATTAAAATATCCCCTGAAAATAAGACTTATTGCATTTTTTGGAGCAAAAATTAATATAAGAGCCTGTCTTATTTTCAGGGAAACATGGTAGTGCTAAGGGGATGTATAAAAGCAACACACTTTGCTTTATACCAGCATAAAATCCCAATAGAATTTTGGCTATTTTGTTTAGTGCAATCTACAATCTGACAAGTAACAGCATTCCGTGTCTAAGTCGCACTGGCCATGTGACCACGGAAGATTGTCTTCGGACAAACGCTGGCTCTATGGCTTGGAAACGGGGATGAGCACCGCCCCCTAGAGTCGAACACGACTGGACAAAAATTGTCAAGGGGAACCTTTACCTGTACCTTACAATCTGACAATGACACATTAATAAGCTAATTCCAACAGCCACAGAGTAATGCAACCCTGCTGAAGATCTCTTGTAAAGACTGTGCCATCAATTGGAACCAATTTACAGTGATGCTAACAGGACTGTCCAGGCAAGTGAGATAGCTAAGAAGTGGTTATAGCAGTTCCAACATTGCCAACCACATGAGATTCCATAGCAAAGCTGGATTTTGAACTCAGGTCTCCTGAATCCTAGTCTGTCACCCTATCATCCAGGATGCTACACAGGGTGCAGCATAATGACAATGAAGTGTAAAAATCACATCACACGTTAATTTCAGTGCCAAGCCCATGCAAAGTCTATTCATTAACAGATTCTGAGGATTTTTTAAAATGTCCATGCCACCATACTATTGTATACATACTGTTATGTACTCTTAGGCCAGCAGTCTCAAGCATTCCCTCTATTTTGTTTCAAGTTAACTGTCTTTGGAAGGAGCACAAGATAATTTTAAGCACTGATTATTTCTCTAAGATACCAGTAGACCTTATCTGTTAGGCTGCCTTCCCTGTGAAAGTCCACACAGGAATTTGCTCAGTTTCTTGTGCATGCATCTGTTTTTCTGCAAACCTGATCAGCAGACCAAAAGGGCTGTGAAGCAGCAGATAGGGAGACACAGGGTAAACAAATGCAGAACCTATGTGGCTAAAGTGTGTACTTTACCAACCCAAACAAAATCAGGGGTTGGCCAAGTAAACACTTGTACTAACAATTCTGTTTCTTACCTTATTTCTGCTGCGTGCATGAAAGCAGTGAATGAGGGCTGCTAAGATCTCATCAGTTAAATCCAAAGATGCCAGCTTCTTTCAATTACTCCAAGCAATAGCATAATTTTGCAGTCATGTTAACCCATGTTAGGTCTACCTTGTACTTTTTAATTACCCAAGTTTGACTTAGTTATCTTGATCAAAGGCTTTTAAATCTGAAAGCCTAAACATTCAAAGCCAATGCCCATCTAAATAACTGAGTGACCTTGACTGCATAATTGCTCTTCTAAGCTTAGGGGGCACAGGGAGAGCTGTCATTGTACACAAATAAGTCTGACCAAAGGTTACTGTGGACAATTTAAAAAAATACATGGTCCTAGACCCTGAGAAAAAAGAACTCTCTCTGTCATCACACATCTGGTTTTGGAATCACAAGATCACTGTTACACAGAATGGTGTCAGCAAAGGGTCCATTTCAGTGAGATATGGATCAGCCTATTATTTCCCAACAATTAGTCTGATCTCTGCAGTTATTTGGCCCAGAAGGATGTATGGAAAATGAATTATAGTTAGCAACACTACCACTTTGCCATGCAGTTGAAAACATTATTCCACATTGTGGTTACATCCTTTGTTTTTAACTCCTTCCTTCTCACATACATGTAAGATATATTGGTGGGCCCTCAGTCTTAACTGTGTCTAGCCAAATGGCAAAGACCTTCCTGCTCTGCTTTTAAGTATACTGTATATTTGTTGTTCTGAATTTTGTTGTATTTTATGGTCTTTAAAATTTTTTTTTGCAACCCAGAGTGTACATATAGGACAGAATACATTATTATACAAGTGAAATAAATCAATAAAAATTAAGAGTTCAAGTTCTCTGTCTCCCTAAACCCACTGTTTTCCACACAGGAGTGTACTCAAATGCACACACTCCACATTTCTGTAATATCACAGGTTATTATTAGTACCAGTTGTAGATTCAAACAACACCACAACTATTTCAGGTTCTACAGTGCACTATTTAAAACACCACACTAAAACTATAAACCCTATATACATGTACCTGAGATTAAACCAAGTGAGACTTACATCTGAGTAGACAGACATAGTGTTACATTGTAAATGAACTGCTAATGCTTCCCTGCATTTTTGTTCAATTATAATATTTTGAAAGCTGGCATCTTCTCTTAGTTCTTGGCACTGCAGCTTGATGCACTACGCTATGCACATAGAGCTTTCCTGAGAATAAAAGACTGCTCATCTCCCGGAATGTCCTTCCACCAATGTATCATTTGCAAGGATGGCCTGTCAACTGCCCCAGGCCATAAACAACATAGGCTGGAAAGGATTCAACATACTATACCAGTGCATCTGATCTCTGAAATACAAGCTATGTTAGTAACGCATTCCTCTCCCTTCCATATCCCCTTAATCTCAAAATCCTTCTGAAATAGTTCCTGCTTTCCAATACACCAATACGTCCTAAGTAGTAGTAATAATAATTACTCTGATTATACACTATTAACCTAGCATCCAGCAATCACATCAAGCATATAAAAAAGAAATACAAAAGCAACCTAGTTATACTCACTCTCCAGAACTGTTAATGTTCCCCATTTTGCAAAATAAACACTGAAAGTCCTTCTCTCATCTGCCTGTGCAAATGCAAAGGTATCAACTGGGTCCACATCAATATTCAAGCAAAGCAAAGAAGTATTCTTATAAAGCAGACGTCTTTAATGATTACTGGCTCTAAAGTTACATGCAAAAAGACTTCTCCTATTTCACAACAGTGGCCGGGACACTGATTAACCCAATTTCATTGTCAACCTGGTTTTAGGAGACGATGATGCATTCCAGACATCACACACTGGCCACAGACATACAGCACAAGTCAACAGCTGCGGCTGTGACATATTGTGCATTGCTGCAAGGAAAGTTATGTGAAGCACAGGCCTGGTCAGTCAGCTCCACTGCTTGATTTCCAAAGTGACCACCTTGTTAATCTGTTGGATTACCAGATTTGTTGAGGCACAAATTGATGGGTCCTAGTATCTGATTTTCTGGATGCACAAATTCATCAATCAATCTTATTTTATTCTTGGCACTCTCAGAAATCTGTCTCTGATATTAAACTATAATATAACAAAACACTAGCCTCCACAAGTATAACATTGAACATTATAAAGTTACACATGCAAAAAAAAAAACACCCCACAAAACCCACACACAACCCTACTGTAAGAAGGAGAGTGTGTGAGAGAGTCCTCTCTCGGGAGTGCCATCCCTCCCACCAACCACTGAAAAAGAAAGCCAGACCCCACTAGATGCCCCACCAAGGAAGACGAGACCTCCCGGACCCGACCCGGGGAATCTAGAGAAACATTTGAAAAGACTAACGGTCACAGAAACCAGGACTATATTGGCGGGTGTGGGAGAAAAGGGGTGGGAGGTGGTAGAGGCGGGGTTAGGGGATATAAAGAGAGGAGAAGGTGAGCTGCCAGAGGGCTGGGAATGGATTTGGGTGGAAGACCCTGGACAGGAAAGATGGAAAAGCTGAGAGTCCCGAAAGAAGAAGCAGATGCTCGAAGGAGGAGAGAGAGCTCAACCCCAAACCATCATACTGGGGTGAGAGGGAAACAAAAGAGTGGCGGAAGTTAAGGGAGGAGAAAGGGTGGAAAGAGAATGCCGGGACAGATTGGAATGGAGGATATGGAAGACCCAACAGAGGGGATTCTTGGAACCCCATAGCAGACGAGGAACCCATCCGGGAGTGTGACTGGGTGGACCTTCAAGAGGAGGATGCCATCCCTTTGTTGGAAGGAGAAAAGGGACTGGTATTAAACTCTGACAACCCTCCCAAGTGGCCAGGACCCTGGAATGACCAGGGTGGAAATCATTTTAAGTTGGAAGAATGGAACCCAACACAGACCTGTTGTCTAAAGGGGAGAACGTTTGGAACATGTTTGTAGATGTTGGAGTCTTGTTAAACAACCCAATAAATGTCACCCCTGTTTCAAAAACCAAAAGATCTGGCGCGTTATTTGAAACAGAGAAGGCTAACCACTGAACTCTCACATCTACACATTGATAAAAATATAGGATGAGCTGTAGCTGTGGTTTATATTAAATAATTCATTTTCTTCGTTGCATAATAATTGCTTTCTCTTAGCCTTTTTTCACTTATAAGGTCCATTGTAGACTTAATTATATATATTTATATATATAAATAAAAATAAAAAATAACATAATCTCTAAAGGATAAAAGTCTTCTCAGTACATTTTCCAAACTAAAATAAAATCAGCATCCAGTATGATGGTACTGCTGATGGAATGGCTTCCACCATTGGAATCAGCATAGGGCAAGCCACCCTCCCCCTTCAGGAAGCTCCTGTGTATTTCCAAAACCTGTTCTTTAAGTTTAGGAAACATTCTATATCCAGTCTGTGAGAAATGTGGAGAACTGCGTGGGTGTGGGGAGTTGGGGAGGGAGGTAAGAAAGATCCATTATACTAGCAGTCAGGAACACACCCAACATCACCTGTACCTACGTATCTCATGCATTACAGACACTCAAGAGGAAGTATAACTAAACCATCCCAAGATAAATAAAGTGACATCAGCAACAGCTAAAACTATAAACTGTAAAATATGGACCATATGCCATTGTGCACATGTTTTAGGGCTACGACAGACATGAGGCAAAGCCCATTTCTTGTAATTAAGTGTGGTTTTTCCTAATAAATAGAAGGGAAGGGGCAATTTTTGTTATGGTAACAATACATACAACACACTATACTATACAATACACAATAAATACTAGACGCTGTTCCAAGACCTCTATTCAGAGCACGTTACCATAGTCTCTTGAGCCTGAAGGATGCCTACACAATACATAGTAAAGAAGTCCTAACCTTTTTCTCTACTGAAAGTAAGCCTTCCCAAACAAGGGAACTTTCCTTTAGGCTCAGACCCACTCCCATTCTCCTTTTATTTATTTAGCATCACATCCAATTTGGTTGCTAATTGTAAAAATCTACTGATTGGTGGTTCATATTGTGAAAATTATTGACGCGAGCCCAATTTCAATATGGTGGGTAAAAGACTCCTGGAACTTCATAGAGTTAACACATGAAAATGACAAACCTGATGGTTTTATTAGAAAGAATGGCTCCACTTTTTTCTTGTGTGTTCCTATGAAGATTTCATTTATACTTTGGGTTGTCTGGAATCACTATGCCGGCCTTTGGATTTTACATGAAAGTCAGACAGAGCAAAACCTCCTTCAAAAATAAGATGTAAAACCCCCAAAGCAAAAATACGCAGGTTAGGGAAGATGGAGGGAGTTTTGACCCTAGCCACTAATCATATTATATATAATAACTACCTACTTTATTACATTTTGCAATTACACTCCACACAGCAAATCATAATGCACTTAATGTGCCTTAAGGGCAGTATTATGTTCTCCTTAAGGCATATTAAAGGGGACAATATCACGTATTTCTAGAGACACTGCCATTCAAGTCTATTTTATCCTAATGTAGATAATAGCCATAATGACAACACACAGAAAGTGAAGTGCTCTTATAAAAGAGTATTTTTTAAGTATAATGTATTTTGATGGACTGTGCACAACATGTGATTTTTGCATATGCTGGAAAGAAACTATGATATGTTAGGTACAAATTACCTTTCTCGGGGAACAGCAAACCAGTATTCTGGTTGCTTTCTCCTTTTACCATATTGCTGGGTCATCGTGGTACTTTGGGAAGTGAAGGATTTCCTCATAGGCTTGCCCACTTTGATGCACAGAAACATTGGAGGGGTCTTGCTCTTCTCCTCTTTAGAAGGAAGCATATCTGAATTCAAGAGACCATAGAATTACAAAACAGCAATTGGACCATCAGCCAGTGGCGCTATTTAACCATTATCAAAAAAGGACAGTGTAGAAATAGTAGGCAAGATTATGAATTAATTCTGTATTATATGTGTATTGCAAATATTTATATCCTACTGTCAATATAAAAATAACAAAACAGTTTATGAAAAGCAAAGAGAAGCAACATATGGAAAGTATACAAGTTGCCTCCAAATTGGTCTTGGGCAATCCATCAAATGAATTACTTCATCAAAAGGACACATATAGCCATGTACACATGCACACATGTGCTGGAGATGAAACTACCTGGTTACTATGATCTACAAAAAAAGCAGATCACAGGAGCAATTTCAATATGAGCCATGCAACCAGGAAAATTCTAATTTTCTGGCACCTTATCACAGTGCATTAAAATAATAAGAACAGTTAAACACAGTAGTTCTGTCTGCTGGAAGCATCAACAATTGCACCAAGAATACAGTAACAACCAAGTACAGACTCCTGGCTTATCAGGAATAAACACAGCTAACACAAATACTCTTTGTGTTAGTTAATTAAAAATGGTTTGTACAGTATGTCTTCCAAAGCTGGGCACCTCACACACTGTTCCCAAACAAGCCAGAAACCTGTAAGTAAAGAACAAATGTAGTTCAAAAGGCCAGGATCCCTGGTTTCAATGACATGCTAAACAAGGCATAGGAAAAGCTTTGGTGGTGACTACAATTCTCACAACTCTTTACTACTGATCATGCTTGGTTGGGCAGCTAGTAGTTAGACTTCAGGAGAGCTAAAGATTTCTCATTTGGGGTTTATTTAACTGATTACCTTAGTAGCACGTTGTTTAAATGTGTCTAATTTTATTGTGATGGCTTTTAAATGTTTGTATACTTCATGGTACTTATGCTTGTTTGGTTTTGTTTGACTTTTAAGTACTCAGTCATTAACTTTGTCTTTCTTGTTTTTACTGTTCCATGACTATTGTGAACTGCCTTAGGCACTGTCTAGTAGTGGGAAAGCAATGCAAAAATATAGATAATAATAACACAACCTTCTGGAGGTCACTCAGTCGCAGGCTCTCATGGCACGTAGCAACAAAAGGACAGATTCCTTCCCAGAGTGCTTCATAGAACAGAAGATACAAAAGGCTGAAAACCACTGCTTTAGAATATGCTTGCATATCTTTACTGACCCTCAAGACACGGAGGTCATATAAATTCCTACTGTTCCACAAACTGCACGCAGGCCCCAGAATGAGGCACCACCTGGCTCTCATTCTTCTGGAACTCTTTTTCCGGTGCAACTCTAGAAGAAACAGTTTTCCTTCTATCCTAGGATTCTAGCCAGTGCGCTCTCACTCTTGCACACCGTGTGCCCGGAAATGTACACAACTTCCAGAGGCAGAGCAACTTGCAGGGAGTACACAGCAAATGCAGGCAAGCCCTACCACTTGTCTGTTGCTACAAGCCTTTTTGCTAACAGCCTGGTTTAAGATTTTGGATCCAGAAGTACATAACTTGGGACTAGGACGCCTGCAAATCATCTTCCTTGACCACTGGGGTCTTCTGAAGAAGTATTCCTGGTGGTTCTACCTATGTCAGAGATACGTCTGGACCACAAGCAGAAGGGCTTTCAATATATTCATGCCCATGCTATGGAATTCTTACCCAGCTGAAGTTAGATACAGTATGGATCTACGCTACTCTGTTTTTCAGCATCTACTGAAGACTTTTCTTTTTAAGACAAGCTTTTCCTAGCTGAAACACAACCCCCAGCCAGTTCTACTTACATTTTTCCTTTTATTGTCATTTTTAAACATCCATGTTTTAACTTATTGATGTGCAAAATCTCCATAATGTGGAGTAGTTCTAAAGCTTAAGGAAAGCCAGAACTGAGGACACAGAATGTAGTTACCCGTAAAAAGTTATTTTCAAGGATGTGCGTAACAAGGAGGTACTAAATTATAATTCAGAAGAAACATAACTAGGGACAAAATATACTTTATTCATGTAACGTAAGATTTTCTAATTATTTTCAACACTTAATTTTAAAAGGCCTTTAAAAGCATTTTGGAATTATTTTGACAGAAAGTTTATAAGTGTTACGTCATTCTCTTACCACCTTTACGTGACATGGAAAGTACTGTTTGTATTGTGTTCTGTATTTTTTGTTTTTTCATGTGGTATATCAGAACCGGCCAATCTCCACTACTGAAAAACAATCTCTGTATTTTTCTTGTGTGTCCATCATGACAACACAACATCCTAACATGCAATACAATACTTTGGTTTCCATCCAGGACAACTGTATCAACAATGGTCATCTAGATCAGTGGTTCTTAACCTTTGTTACTCAGGTGTTTTTGAACTGCAACTCCCAGAAACCCCAGCCAGCAGAGCTGATGGTGAAGACTTCTGGGAGTTGCAGTCCAAAAACATCTGAGTAACAAAGGTTAAGAACTAGTGATCTAGATGGCTCAAAAATAATGAGACATGGTAAGTTCTTTTTTAAAGTAACATTCCAAATAACATCACAGAGAGAATAACTTGGTCTACTAACTAATAAATGACTGAGCTGAGGGATCACAATGAATGTTCACAATCAGTCAGCTTTCCAACAAACAGTGAAAATGAATGCAACACTGTTTGCTTTCTTGGAGTAATTAGGAAACATAGTGAAAAGCAACAGTAAGGAGCTTAAGAAAAGCATTATCATGGTTAATGTTGTGGGATTGTTGCACTGATTCTTTTCTAACCCAGCTACACTCCTTGATAGCTGACAATATGCTTCACATCAAGGATAGGCAAGCTCTGGCATTGCAGGGTTGTTGTGCTGCAACTCCCATCAGCCTGTGCCAAGACAGTCAATGATGGTGATGGGACCTGCAATCTAGCAATATCTGAGCAGCCACCTATTCTTCATCCTGGCTTTACTGGAGCAGGAGCCCAGGCTCAATTTCTAGTGACTCAAAGAAAGATAAAGAGAATTATGCTGTTAAAGTAACTATCATAAACCTCTGTGTGTGTGTGTGTGCTTTTTTAAAGTATTATAAATTAATTATTTCAATAAGAGAATGGCAAAGATTATTCAGCAAAAGGATTGCAAATTAGGTGTACCTTCAATGGGCACCTGGATTCTCTTCAGCAGCCACAGTCTAATTTCAGATTTATTATCTGGATGTGACATCAATGAAGAGGCTAATGATCCTTCAGACTCTTTGTTTTCTTCTCCTGCTGCTGAGCCAATGTCTAGCAACAGTTCTTTCCCTTCAACTGAACAGGAATCAGGCCCTGCCCTTTGGCCTGTAAGAACATCAGTGGCATGGGAACGTGAAGAACTAAGTGTGAGATCTATGCCCCTTGATATACTGTTCCCTTCTTCCTTGATTTCAGTCTTACTCAAGCCACCAGTAGACTTTGGTTCGTTCTTATCTTTGCTGAGGTAAAATTCAATAAGCTTGTCTTTATTTAGCTCCTCATTTGCATCAAGGGTTGCCTCTATTTTATTAGTTGGAGAACTACCACTCTTGTTCACTTCAGGCACTACATCTAGTTTCTCACAGGTCTCCAAATCAAGGATGTCCTTAGGAATATCCTGCTTTGTCCCTAATGAATCCAACATTGATTGCTTACAATTTTCTTTATTTGTTGCTTTCAACCGGACCTCCTCTTTTATTTTACAATCTTTGAGGAAATCTGGTTCTGCATCTCCCTGGCCCACTCTGCTATCAATCTTTGATGAAGTCTCTTCTAGGTCAATAAAGCCATCTTCCTCCAGAAGGGAACTGTCTTTGGTTAAATCCAGAGTAACTCTCTCCTTTGAATGCTCTGCAGTATAAATTTCCAAAGCTACCCCTTCTGAAGACTGTGCAGTGACAGAGTCTCCTGGAGTTTCTACCACTCTGGATGTCAGTAAGGAAGAATTTTCGGAAGATTTAACAAGTTCCAAATCTGTAGTCTTCTCCTTGTCTGAGGGCTTCACCTGTCTGGCGTTAAGGGTAACAACACTGCCCACCTTCTGCTTCTTCTTCTCCTTGTCCATGGATTTAAATTTGCTGAAAGGGTTGATGTCCTTCTCAGAAGCCAGGTCTTCCCACTCACCAGGCCTGTACAGAGGACAAAGATCCTTTGGAATGTCACTGTCAGGAAAGATGGTGAATGTATATGGAGTGTGAAAAATGGAGACAAAAACGAAAAGAAAACAGTAACTCAACAAAAGCTTAAATAAATGAAACAACAAATGGCAGAAAAGAATAGTCAACTAAAATACATCAAAATAAATTTTAAATGACATGAACTCAACCAACAGCTTCTTTATGAATAAAATGTAAGCCAACTGAAATAAAGCAATTATGATGCTGAAAGAACTGGAATAACCAAATATTTATAATTTTGAAGTACATGTTGTAAAAGTGCAGAAATGGACATTATGTTGTTATGTATCTGGAGGCATTTGTACAAGTAGGAAACAAAATACAAGAACTGTCTGGTATTATGTACTGCAACAAGAACAACAGAATGACCATGTATTTTATAATACATATGTGATAATTTCTGTACCATTGACAGTAAACATATATCAGCAAAAATCCTGTTGCTTAATGCAGGAAGTCACCACCAGAGTAGGCCCACTGAATAAGCGGTGATCTGGTGAGTCAACTGTTCTGTGACTCACTACACTAGGCAACAGGGTTTCAGCCACTATACTGTACACATCTTTTAGTTTGGAAGACTAAGAACCTGCAGATTTAAGGCTTTCAAAACCAAAGTTGAGCTCAAAATCATGCAATGGATTCAGAAACCAAAATACATGAAATCATACATCTGTGAGATGCCCAAAGGTTCTTGAGCTTTTGTCAGCAAACATGGATATATTGAGTTTTTAAAAAATCAAACCTAAATATTTTAGAACAGGACAGCAAACTGCCCAATCCTGCTTCAGTCAAAAAACCGAAGCCTACAAATACAAATTCCCCTTAGCTCTCAGAGGTTAATGGAAGAATGTCAAACACAGAGAGATTCTCTATATTATAAAGTAAATCTACATCTCTCACACTTCTTGGTAAATATTGTAACACATGAATATCTCACTCCTTTGACATGCTTGCTTCTTCTAAATGGTGAAAATACACATCTACAGCTCTTCCTTCCTACCCCTTAATGCTAAGAAAGGGCTAGAAAGGGTAAGCAGGCCTGAAAGTTTTTACCTGGAATAACACAACAACAAAAAAGTAAGTAACATAAGTTATGATGACTCTGATTACTTCTGTACTGCCCTTTAAAGCTCTAGTAGGTGAAAAAGAGAGAGGAAGAATTCGAAGAGGGAGCCACCAGTCTCCAATTATACAACCTGCTTTGTACAATTCTCAGATATTAAGACTAAGCAGGCTTAAGAACAAAGGTAGGATACTCTCTTCGATCAGCAAATCCAAATCGTTCTTCAGATTACAAAGTTATTTAATTCCTAAACTTCAAGTCACAAGTTTGCTCCAGAAAAAACAGTTTCCGTAAAGTGATGGTAAGACATTATTCACAGACCCACAGGAAGAGATCCTGCCACCAAGCCTTCTGATAGCAGAGAGGAAGATACTCATACTTCCCTTATACTTCACTCTCTTCCAGATTTGTCTACACCGCTCAGTGAGCTGATATTGTTGGCTGTTCATACCACTTAGAATCTCTAAACAGGGTCCTGAGGAAAACATTCAAATGCAGAAACTAGCCCAATGAAATCCATGATCTATGTTTATGATCATTATATTTATTGTGTATATTGTAAGCTTGATTCTGATTTTTGATTTTACATAATGGAGTTCTACATTTATTACTGAATATTTTAATTTTTAAATTTATTTTTCTGATGAAAAATATGTGTCTTTGTTTTCTTGAGTGTAAACTGCCCAGAGTGGCCCTCTAGCCAGATGGGTGTTATAAAAGTCAGATAAATAAATAAATAAATAAAATGCTCTGGGTCGTCTCATTATTTCTGGCACTACTTTCTTTTCATAGTTCCCTCCCCCTCCCCCACACACCTATCTTCAACTGACACTGTTCTTTAATTGAAAAAAAAGTCTCATTACAATATTAAGATGTAAACCTAATTTGCATGGGGTTATTTTTTGCAAATTCTCATAATGTAATTTTCCCTTTCATGAGGTGAGGTGCTTGTATGAAACAACAGCCTCCTGAAACATTTAGATCAGAAAATGTTAAAAAGCATTGCTTGAATTCCTGAATGTAGAATGTGTCATACTACAAAAAAAACTGGGTGGTAAGTAAACAGTGTATAAACTTCTCCACCCACATAAATATACTAGTTAGGTCTAGGTTACCACAATCATTCTTAAAGAATACACCACTGTTTTGATTAATTCTCTTCTTCATTATTAGCTTCTCCTCCAGTTCTTCAAGACCCTTTCCTCCTTCCAAATGGCTGTCCTCTCCGTCCCACGGATAAGGGTTTGACATTATCAACAAAGAACACTTCTTACGAGGGCAGTGCATCCTTAATCTTCATGTGAGATATATCATTGTAGAGTGCAACAGAAACAACCTCCTCCATAGGACAAATGAGACCATACTCTTCACAGCCGTTCTCAATGACCAAAGGGTCCGATTTGTGAGGGTCAAACATGATGTTGTTGGGAGTGACTATCATGACCCCTCCTACCACGCCCTTGAAATAAAAATAAACAAGCATTTAATATTTTGATCACTATGAAAAACTCACAGAATACCCTTAATTCTGTTATCCCTGACATTCTCTCTTCTAGAGGTTTTCTTTCTGACGCACGCACACAACATTATTCACCAAGGTGCTCATTGTTTTTGAAGACATAACCTCCTACTGAAAGCATGCAGAGATAAAGATTCCAAGTGTTCAAAACATATATATCTTTAGCAGACAAGGCCAAAGTGATAAAGAGGGATATATGTATTTCAATTTGTTAAATCTTTGTTGCAATAAAATGGGAGCTCCAGTTTGTTAATTAACTAGTGTCAAAATATTATTAAAATTTACGAGTCAACCCAAACCGTCATCTCATTTTGATTGCCTCTGTGACATCTAGCAGAGATAGCAAGGCCTCATTTTTATTACTTCAGTTTTTGAGTCAAGAATTTCCCATACGAAAACTGAAGGAAGACTGAACGGCTTATCATAGCACAGAGAAATTAAAAGGCAAAAGGTTAAGTGCTCCATTTAGATGTCTCTGCCATTAAGTGGGGGAGTAGCAATGAGATGGAGGAGGGGAGAAGATATGACAGGAAGCTAAAACATTGCTTCCCCCTCCATTAAGTTTCTCTGCTCCAAATCATTTTCATTTATTTATATATTATTATATTTGTACCCCTTCTTTCCACTACAAGATAGTGCTCAAGGAAGCATACAAACTAAAATAAAAACACTTTAAAACACATTTCATGAAAAAAAAACTCCCTGAATTTTGTCTGGAATTTTTTTGGGAGGTGGGGAATTCTGGATTTGGAGTCCAAAAAAATCAAATGGCATGACCCACATTTCATCCTTAAGCTGAGGTGCTAAATAGAGCAAAATGTTTTTTGAAGAATTCAAAGGACTGGGAATATCAAACACACAAATTATTTTGGGGGTTTCAACCACAAAGCAGCTTTAGTTTAGTTTTAGCTCTTCTACAGAAGGTTAGTTTTCGAAGTCAGGGATATTTGTTCACAGAAGACCTGAACTTCATTTTTCTATAACAACTGACTTTATAAATTCTATTTATATAAGTCTAGCACAGAGAGGAAAGAATGATAAGGATCCATTAGTAGTGGGGAATCTTTGGCTCTCCAGATTTTTGTCCCAAAATTCCCACCACAGAAACAAGCTACAGTGGTGCCTCACTTGATGACGATAATCCGTTCCATTCAAATTGCTGTTAAGCGAAATCGTCGTCAAGTGAAAATAAAAAACCCATTGAAATGCATTAAAAACCGGTTAATGCATTCCAATGGGTGAAATACCTCATCATCCAGCAAAGATCCTCCATAGGGGAAGCCATTTTCAATCGCTGTCTTCCGGAAATAGGTCTGGAAAACAGCAGCAGGCCATTCTGAATACCCGACGATCAGCTATAAAGATTGTCGTGAAGCGAAAAATCGGTTCCCGAAGCAGGGAACCGATCATCGTAAAGCGGATTTTCCCCATTGAAACATCATTTTGCGATCGCTATAGCGATTGCAAAAACCTCATCATTAAGCGATTTCAGCATCAAGCGGGGTAATTGTCAAGCGGGGCACCACTGTATTAGAATTTTAGTCCAAAACATCTGAAGGATCAAGGTTTCCCCAATTCTCCATTAAATGGAAGACGATAAATATAATATCTGCCCTGTTTTGGCTCCCTGTCTTCAAACTGCAAAAGGGAGGAGGGGAATTCAAGCAACTGAGATCACCCATAGAAAGGCAACTGTGCAGCAATTTTTCCTTACTCGGATCTCATCCTTTGCACAACTACTGTCTCATCTAGAAGAAGAAGCAAGGGAGACAGGTAGGCTTGTTCACACTCTTCCTCATCTGCACTCCATGAAACCAATGGGATTCTTGCCACTGCCCAGTAACAATTCTTCCCTGCACTGACACTCTGCACTGCCATCGGCCTATAACATACCGAGCTCATCCGTTGTAAAGAGAAATATCAAAAGGCTCTACCTTCCCATCGGTGAAGTATCGGCAATTCATTTTCAAAAACTTGACCACAACTGGCTCATCTTCCTCTGAAGTGGATGATAGGACTCTGTGGAGTGGCCGACAGGCTCTTCTTGCCAAGTCTGCATCCTTTAAAAATACAAACAATTTTTAATATAATAATGGCTTAGATCATAACTTGCTCATCCACGTATGCAAGGTGTGTGAGTTCTACCAGTTAGAAAGTACCGTAATTTGTTTCTCTTACATTACTTCGAATATGTTCATTATTCCCTACACTGTTGTAAAAGTAACTGTTACATTGCTCCTTGCATGACTCCGTGCTTTTAAAAATGTATTTACTTAACAAAAATTCCTAAGAGAATGGTATTGAACTGGAATGATTCCTGTCAAAATGCCTCTAAAATATCCATAAGTAATATTCAAAAGTAACCTTTGAAAGTAATTATAATATGTTGCTCATTACATAAATCACATAGGTTCAATCTAGTTGCTACTTTGCTTTGGAAATATAACTTATTCCCCCTTTATCCAAAAAAGCAACTAACTATATTCTTGTAACCTGTTACTTCCAACATCTCATTTCTTGCAATTGTCCCCTAAATCTGCAGCCCCATGACTGATCCCACACAAAGTTTGGAACCCTCAGGATAAGAGCTACCAAGAATTGTAGTAAAAAGGGTGTGGATTAAAAGTCCCACTGCGCAAACAGTACTCTCATAGTAGAGATGTAGATCTAAGTCACTATACCCCATAAGCTTTATTATCATTTATATTTGGTATTTTCTTCACAGAATGAGATATATTTCTTGGTAAAATCCTTTTTTACAGGCACAGAAGAGGGATCATAGAAACTGCTATG